GGAAAAAATGGAAAAAAAAAAAAAAAAAGAAGAAGGGGGAGGTGGTTGGCATGCAGAACTAATGGTGCTGTTTTTTCCGCATAAGGTAAATTTTTTCTTTCTGGAGAAATTCCAATGCCTGGACCGCAGCTTGAAGTTTCTGGCCATCCCCTTCTAAATTAATTATCGTGATCACGGTGGAAGAAACCAAACGTTTATTTCGTTTTTTTTTAATAAAAAATATAGCTTTGAATATCTGGCAAAATCTTGACTTGGCTCTGGATCTCATTCCCTCGTTGGGACTGGCAGAAATAATTGGCTAAAAAAAAAAAACTAACTTGATTTTTCATTATGATTTAATTTTTTTTTACTTCTTTAGTTTTATTACTCTACCTCTTGTTTTCATTCACATTTTTTTGGGTAGTAAATTATTTGATATTTAGCAATACTGAGATATTTAAATTAAAGTCAGGACAGGTCTTCCTTGAATGAAGCTCCTTTAGAATTTCATATTAACTCCTTTTTTTTAAAAAAATATATATATGCGATACTGGATAATTTTTCACTCGATCCAAGCTCATCATTAAAAAAGTATTGGCAAGATTTAGGTCTTAGTGTTAAGAAAAGATTGTGAGAGCAACCGAAAAGATGCGAACATCTTTAATGGGGTATATTGAATTATAACAAATTTTAAAAAAAAGTAAATATTTAATAAAATTAAAAGATTAGAAACGCATCCCTGCAGCAAAGAAAATTTGCTACTAGCCCCTGATAGTTGGAGCACGTGGATGTGCGAATATTCGGATATAATTTATTCGACCTAAAATTAAAATTCCGTAAAATCACCAAAATCATGTTGACTGATAATTAATAATTATTTAATAATGTAATGATAACTCGCGCAGTGTGACTTTTTTTTTTTTCATTTGCCAGACGCATTGTGAGAGCTAATACTGTGAAGCACTCCATGAACTAATATATGTTATAGAAGTATAAAAAAAAAATACTATGCTGAAATAATGATTATATATCCTTAATTAAATTCAACGTGAATAGGGTTTATAATTAAAGCCTGAAGAAGTTTATCGGCATTCGGCAGTGAGCTAGAGGATCACAAGCGCAACAATCCCTCTAAAGGGTGGTTGATATGTGTTGTCGTTTCAAACGTATTTTTATTTATTCAATTCAATAAACGAAGGATCGCCAATCAATTGAATTATAATCGCTGACCAACTAGACTCTTCGATAACTAATCTTGTTTAACGTTAATGAGATCACCTCATAATTTAATTAATTAATTTGTTGTACTAAGTCTCAGAGAATTTTCAGATACTTCTATATTCTCATTTGTTTTTCCAAATGGTGTCGCTATTATCGTCACTCAATAATTTGTAAAGGTGGAAATCATCTTTTGTAAGGAGTTCGATACTTCAATGCCTCGAACAGAATTACAGGTTATTTGGCTTAGAAAATCCGGATTGATCTGAAAAGTTTTTTTAAAAGAAAAACCCATCAAAATTAATATCCATAAATAATCAAAAATTACAAGCAGCTTAATTCTATTCTATTATTTTAAATACAGTTAATTCATTGAGATTTGAATTCAGTGAATGCATAAATTTATTAACTCAATGAGCGTACACGTCTCTATTATAACCATTAACTTTTATCAAAACTTAAAAAGTAGTAATATACATTTTCATTAAAAAATTAAAACAATCCCCCCGATCAGAATACTCCACGTTTTATTCGGTTAAAAAAAAAAAACACTTCACATCCACTCAAAAGATTTAAAATTTAATACTTTTTAAATATTGCACAACAAAATTTTTAATAATTATTTGGCTAAATTAAATGATTATTATCATATCATACAAAACATATACTGAGTAAGTAAATTTAGGCCATTTAGCTTATTCAAATTCAATTCATTGAGACTGAATATGATCGATTTAGCTCAAGAAGAATGCTAACAATTTTAATGTGTATTATGCTCAGTTAGAACTCTTCCATTTGATTTACCAGGTAGGTCACGGCCCACAGAAAGAAGGCATGTTTCGTCAAGCTATTCGCAAAAGGGAGAATGTAAAAACTGAGAATCAAATAAAGGGAGGCGTCTGTTTGAATGAATATTGTATCGTGTGGAGTACACATTTATTTGTAAGAGGGCTTTTTTTTTTTTTTTTGTAGGTTTGTAAGAAGGCATTTTGAATTTGACCCATTGTTTACCAAACCAAAAAGAAGAAGAAGAGGAAGAAGAAGAAGACATCTTCTGTGCAGCCGAAGCATCATAGTTGTAGGGGCGGATCTAGAAGTTAATAGATGAGGGGGCCAACCTGAAAATAAAATATTGAATTGGGGGCCAAAATCTATTTTAAAAATTTCTAAAGAGGAGTATAAGTTTGCTTGCATCCCATCCGTCTCTCCTTAGCTGTCACATACACGTGGATAGTAGTGAGGGCAAATCCGTGAATTCATTTAATGATTGAATGGTCATAGTCCACTGGCACTTAAATCAATTGACTACTTTGTTTATGAACCGTGCTTATATTGCCGTTTCATCTCTAAACATCGACGTTGTTGCACTTGGCCTATGCAACCTTTCTTCAATAAAACAATAATAATAAAATTTATTTAAATCATATAAATAATAATTTAATATATAATGTCAATAAAGTCTTTCAAAAATTTTTTGTCAATAACTTTTTTAGAGAATAGGTCATTTTATTTTTATTAATAAATTATAATTTTTTTTTCAATTTTTGTGATTCTTTAAAAAAAGAATTGTGAGTTTTTAAATAAAAATTGTGAGTGAAGATTGTTATTTTAAGAATTTATTTTTCAATAATAAAAATTATATTTTAAAAATTATAATTTTTTGTTCAATTCTTATGATTCACAGAATAAAAGTTGTTATTCTTTAAATAAAAATTGTGATTAAACTTTTTTTAAATAACAAAAATGACACATGATAATTTGTGATTTCTTATTCAATTTTTATAATTTACAAAATAAATGTTGTGATTCTTTAAATAAAAGTTGTAATTAAATCTTGTTGTTTTCAATAAAGATAAATGATCTTTTTCTTAAAAAAATTATTGACAAAAAGGTTACTAGAGCCTTCATTTTTATTATGGCATTTTAAATAATTAAATTGTCAGTTACAAAATTTAAAAGTCTTTTATTGTCACTATCCCTTCTTTAATTAACTATCTATTCTCTGTAATTTTAATTTGATTAAAATTTATTCTCTTGAACAAAAATTTTTATAATGTGCATACTTTACTACGTCTCAAATTATAAAATAATTTTAAATAAAATTATATATATTAATAAATTTTTTTTGGTACAATCAATAAATCTTATTTAATATATTTTGTAATATTATTTTTTAAGACAAAATATAAATGTTTAAAAATGTTTTTCATTTTATGCTTTATTTTTTAAATAATATTAAAAAGAGAGAATGTCAAAGAATAATAATATTAGAAAAGTATAATTAATAAAATTTTATTTTTATTAATATATCTTATATTTTAAAATACTAAAACTATTTTAAAAATATTTTATAATTTAGAAGAAGAGGACTATAATATATTAAAATGTAACATTATTGAAGTTGACTCACTGGCACATTGCAGTTAAATATAGAGATTATGCTAAAATATTTTAACTTTAATTAAATTAAAAAGTTTCATCCTATAATAAACAAAATAATTACTACTATGACGCAATATATGATAATGTGCCGCCACCAGGTGGACACGTCAAGTTCGTTTATTTAATTTAATTCTTTAAAATATAATCCTATGAAGTTAGGGCAGGGTTTAAATTGAGGGATTTTGATTTTAAATTCAAAATCTCTTATTTAAAATTTATATATTTTATTTTTTTTATCTGGATGGTTTAAAAAAAATTAATAAAGAAAGAGAGATGAAATGGGATTTGCAACGAAAGTAAAAAAATTAAAAATAATGATTTTATTTATATTTTTAACTAATAACACATGATAATAATACAAACAGTAACAGTAAAAATGTGAAGAGAATAAAATATTTAAAAAAAATTAAAATTTTAAATAATCAGGGTATAAAAAATTTTAAAATATAAATGAATTATAATTTCAAGTGAATTTAGATATTCATAAGTTTTTTATATCAAAATAAAAAATTTAATTTAAATTCAAACCCTTGTTAGTTTATTTCCAAACTAAATGCCATACACTCTGGGGAAAAAAACTAACTGCTGCGTTTGCTATTTTAAAAGTTGTTACGACTTACAAGTTACTGGCAAAAAAAATAAAAAAAAAAGTCACAAAACTCTAATTGTGAACAATATGAAAGCAATTAGGATACAAATATACACGCCATCAGTTATTTTGGGGGGGGGGGGGAACATTCGCTCAGACGTAGTTGAAAGCTAGCTGAAAAGTGGTGTAAAATGTAATTATTATTAAATACTTCAGGATGAAAGATTAATGTACTAACTAATTAATCTCGATTTTCATACTGATGGAGATTTATTTGTTTCAAAATCACATAAAATTTAAGGAATAAATTAACATTCATGTTAATCATTAGGAATGATATAATAACTACATACTCTTGCTACTTTTCTATAATATATTAATAATTCTGTATCTATGTTCTTATATAGAAAACCATGAGCAGAATACGGGTATGATTTCTCTCTCTCTCTCTCTCTGTTTTTTTTTTTTAATGCACAAGTGAAAAACTGACGCCTTGTAGCAAAATCATATGCCCAAGAATGTAATCATCATTAGTATTATTAATATCATTACTATTATTTTTGGCAAAAAAAATATCATTACTATTATGTTTTTTTTTTTTTCATTTCGATTTTTAGATTTTTATTTTTCCAGCCACTACATCACTGTGTCTCTATTCCCCCTCTTGCTTGACGCGAAAAAAAGGATTGTGTTACTTATAGCTCCAGGGTGATTCAGCATCGAGAGGCAGAGACTGGCACATTATAAAAGCCTAACAACACTCAGAGGCACAACACCCATCCGATACTCTTCGGGCCTCTCTCTCTCTCTCTCTCTCTCTCTCTCTCTCTACCCCTCCCCTCTCTCTCTCTCACACATTTTTGTTTTATTAGTTACATATTTACAGTCACGAAGCTCCTTAATTCTCTGCTTCCGCTTCTGTAAATGTTGTCTGCTTCCGCATTCCTCTGAATTGATTACAGAAGCAGAGAAGAAGGACGCAGAGAGAGAAGAGGATAGACTCGAGCAACACAAACTTAGCTTCCTTTCCTGTCTTCTTTAGCTTCTGCTATTACTTCTGGGGTCTCATTGCTCCAGATCCGCCTCAGTTTTCTTCAAGCTCAGTGGGGTTTTAGCCACAGTGACAAACATTCCAGCTCTGCCTCCATTGTTTTGCGTGGCCCTGAAGCAAAACACCAAACAGAGATATCCCTCCTTCTTTATCAAAAGTTGCTTCTTTAAATCCTTCTAGTGGGTTTTGCCTCCTCTGTTTCTCTGACGACCCATTACTGTAAAGGGAAGGGGGAAAAAAAAGCTTCAGAATGGATCGTCTTTCATCCACGACCGTTCTTCCAGACGCATTTCAAGGGGCCAGAGATGATATTACTATGCAACTCGGGTTCATCTGGGGTCAAATCAAATTACCATTGGTGGTTCCTCTGCTAAGACTGGCAGTATTTCTGTGTCTGGTCACGTCGCTGATGCTTTTCGTGGAGAGGGTGTATATGGGCATTGTCATTACCTTGGTGAAGCTGTTCGGCCGAAAACCAGAGAAGCGTTATAAATGGGAACCACTAAAGGACGACGTTGAGCTGGGAAACTCGGCTTATCCTATGGTTCTCGTTCAAATCCCAATGTACAACGAAAGAGAGGTACTCCAATATACCCACTTCGGTTTCTAGCTCGCACAGTCCATCGGAATTGCATTATTAATTCTCGGTATTAGAATTCAGGTTAAGTTCTGTTGGATCTACTTGTTAATGCAGGTTTATCAGCTTTCGATTGGAGCAGCATGTGGGCTTTCTTGGCCTTCCGACAGAATCATAATACAAGTTCTCGATGATTCCACAGACCCGACAATCAAGGTGAACAGAAAAATCCAGACACGGATTATAATATTACTACATATTTAACATGGCATTATCGAGGATTGATGTCGGGAAGTGAACGGATAAATTGCAGGCTCTGGTGGAGCTAGAATGCCAAAGATGGGCAAGCAAAGGGATAAACATAAAGTACGAGGTAAGAGACAACAGAAATGGGTATAAAGCAGGTGCTCTAAAAGAGGGAATGAAGCATGGCTACGTTAAGCACTGCGACTATGTTGCCATTTTTGACGCTGATTTTCAGCCTGAGCCTGATTTCCTCTGGCGTTCAATACCTTTCCTTGCTCACAACCCTGAAATCGCCCTCGTTCAGGCTCGCTGGAAATTTGGTAATTAACTCTTTCTCATTAAACATCTTCCTTTTTTTGTTAGGTTTTTTTTTTCTTCTTGTCCAATGGCGGCTCTATACTCTTAATTAAATCTCGTTTTCCACGATGAGAGTTCTAAAAGCAGAGTTTCCTCCAGAAAACTGTCGGTGGGTTATTACTTTTTTGTTTTTGTTTTGGAAATTCTCTCTGGGCGGAGAGAGGTGGGTCCTACCTGGTGGTTCCATGACATTACAAAAATTACAGTAGAGTCGTCCCTGCCTCCCTGGTTGTCTTCGTTCCAAGGCACGTATGCATCTCGTATCGTCTTCCTTGATTTGCTTTTCTGTTGTTGTTGAGATGGGACCCGCTCTATAAAGTTTAAACTACCCTCCAATAAAATATTATATAAAAATTGGTGAACACAATGCTTCGGTGCTTCCGGCTGATTCTTTTCCTTTGTCCGATGGCCTGTAATAGAGGGCACTTCAATAATAGCAAGTTAACAACAAATAATGGTTCTCGTGAGTTTCTCCCCTTTTATGCTGTTAATAAGTTAATAATAACAAACAGCAGCAATTAATTCTATAGCTGTTGGAGCCGAAAAGTAGGCTAATAGTTGGGCCACATCTTAGGGGGGCAAAGAAGAGGTAAATATTTCCGAAAGTGTGTTCAAGATCAGTTAAGAGGAGAAAAATAGAGAAACCTTGCCTTTTTCATAATTAGCCTTATTTTAGCGTAGCTCATCCTCCACTACTTACAACCTTGTGGAGGAAAGTCCTGTGAGACACATGGCCTATTTGGTTTCTGTTTTTAAAAATTATGTTTTGTTTTTAAAAAAACAAAAAATATATATATTTGGATAAATTTTTTATATTAAATTATTTTCAAAATTGTTATCATTTTTTGTCTTTAAAAAATAGAAATATCCTAAAGTCATTTTCATTTCTTTTTTTTTTAATGTTTTCAAAACACACCACATTTGATTACTAGAAAATTTAGTAAGTTTAATCAATTTCTATTATTAACCTCTGTTATTAACCACCCACAACCACAACTATCAGCCTATTTTGTAATTTTAAAATTGTTTTTAAATTAACATAATCAAATAGATTTTCATTTTGTTTTGAAAAAAACAATTCTAAAAATTGTATCACAAAATACTTTATAAAAACAAAAAAATGAGAACAAAATTAAATAGGCCCTTAAATTCGCTAACATTTTCTTACATATATTGTTGGAACGTACTAGTAAATGATAATATACTTTCAAGGCTAATATAATACAGAGATCACACTTGTTCTACCTGAACAACCAATCACATAGATACACTCCTTTCCTTTTTAATTATAGGGCAAAGTTTTAAAACTTTACTTACTTGTAAATAGAAGGTAGAGATGTGATAATTAATTTCTTTTCAACTTTACCCCTCCTTAACTGCAACAAGTTGTTAGCAATTACTCCATTCGGATTAGAACATCTTCTAGAAGACATGTTTGATAAAAAATACAGAATATTAGGTAGTTTTTATAATTATTTTTTCAACTATATCCCTTATTTATTATTATTTTTGAATAAATAATGCATTAAAATTTTAATTTTTATTATTAAGATATTTATATAAGATATTTAATGAGGGTATGATTGGGGAGATATAAAATTTTTAAAGAGATTAAGATTTTTCCTAATTTTTTTTAGAATCATAAGATAATTATCAATGCATTATATTATAGCCTAGATGAAGTCGCTTATTTTTAATTTTCATACAGTACTTTATTATGATTATTAATATAAGTGAAGAAAAAGTCAAACAATTTTTACAAGCTTTAGGTATCAACTACCACTCTTTCATGCCCGTGAAATTAGTTAACTCTGTATTATAATTAGTATGGGGGAGAGAACAATAAATCTGGTAAACATGTCCTCCTCTTGAGATCGGAAATGCAATGATACTTTGTGAGGAACATTTATTGACAATTGAGTGAGTGTAGAGAATGCTGAGATGAGAAAGAGAGGGTAAAGTCCACTTCTTCCACTAGCCAAGAATAGTAAAGGACATGTGCAAAGGCAGAACACTCGTAAAGGGATGGTCCATGTCCTTGAATTATTAGTGTTGGGCGCTCGTGGTCGTGGCCACATATGAAAGGAAGGTGTCTCAAAGCAAGGGTATATCTGTCTCTTGTGATTGACACCATCCTTCTTCTTATGGTGCTATCATTGTGGTCGTTGATGTCATCATTGTGGTTACTCCTAGTCTGCTGCTTCATCTCTCTCATCATCTTCCTCTCTTCCTTCTTTCTGTATCCGGCACCTGCATGTGCAGCTTTTAATGGTGGACTTCATTTCCCAGTCACTGTCTCTCTCTACTAGCCGACCAATGAATTTATTTCCCCCATCTCTTCCGCAAAAATCATTCTAAAACTAGCAGCATACCACGTTGGAAACGCTGACGTGGCCTTTTTCCTTCTTTGCAGTGAACTCCGACGAGTGTTTAATGACCAGGATGCAAGAGATGTCGCTGGATTACCATTTTACCGTGGAACAGGAAGTGGGGTCCTCCACGTACGCTTTCTTCGGTTTCAACGGTAAGCCACACGATTCCAAATATGATTTACTTTCCGTCTTTTACATCAGATCAGGAATAAAAAATCCAATCACGTTGGGATGAGTTTTACGTTGAAAATGAAATGAGAAGCGAATATTAACGTCAGGGACTGCTGGAGTATGGAGGATTGCAGCGCTGAATGAGGCTGGTGGATGGAAGGATAGGACCACTGTAGAAGATATGGACCTTGCCGTCCGAGCCAGTCTCAAGGGCTGGAAATTCCTCTACTTGGGCAAAATCCAGGTTTACTTTCTCTTCTCTTCAACATTTTTATGCTCTTGAATACGGTCATTCCTACAAATGCATGTCTTGTTAAACTTGTTTTTACTGTAACAGGTCAAGAATGAACTGCCTAGCACTTTCAAGGCCTACCGCTTCCAACAGCACAGGTGGTCTTGTGGCCCGGCAAATCTCTTCAGGAAAATGGTAGCGGAGATTGTCAGAAACAAGGTGAGCTATTGCCTTCCCTGTATTCACCAAAGAGCACGTTCTCTGTTCTTCATCCTCTGAGTTGGCAAGTGTGTGTATCTGCTGTGCAGAAAGTGTCTTTGTGGAAGAAGTTACACGTCATTTACAGCTTCTTCTTCGTTAGAAAGGTGGTGGCCCACATCAACACGTTCGTGTTCTATTGCATTGTATTACCAGCGACAGTTTTGGTGCCAGAGGTTGTTGTCCCAAAATGGGGAGCTGTGTATATCCCTTCCATCATCACCCTCCTCAATGCGGTCGGAACTCCAAGGTTTCTCCTCGTAACCCAAGCTAGCATATGTATCTAGAAGGTCTTGAAGACAACCTTTTGCTGTGATTCTCGTACTTGTATTGATTTTGTTGAACATGTTTCCTGTTTTAAGGTCGCTTCACTTGCTTGTCTTCTGGATTCTTTTTGAGAACTGCATGTCTCTACATCGAACAAAGGCAACGATTATTGGTCTGCTTGAGGCGAGTCGAGTGAATGAATGGGTTGTCACTGAGAAGCTTGGAGATGCTTTCAAGGCTAAAGCTGCGGCTAAAGCACCCAAGAAACCTCGATTCAGGATTGGAGACAGGTAACATTTTTGGCTTAATTGTCTCATAAGATTCCCTGCTAGCTTTCCGAATCAGAATTACTTACCGATATAAGTGGTCTGCGTGAAAATATCATATCATGATAGGATTCACTTGCTGGAACTTGGAGTCGGATTCTACCTCTTCTTCTGTGGCTGCTATGATCTCTTGTTCGGGAAAAATCACTACTTTATATTCCTTTATATGCAAGCAATTGCCTTCTTCATCTTGGCTTTTGGATATGTTGGCACCTTCGTTCCCAACTCCTAGAAGACTCTATTCGTTCGGCAATTCCAGTTTCTGTGCAATGATTCTCTCTTCTTTGTAAAATAGTGTTGTGCTTTCAGCAAGGTTCTGTCAATTATATAGGTTGTTAGTACAAAAGAAAAGAAAAAAGGCGATCACTTCTCAACTATATGCATGGTCAGAAAGTGACTTGAAAGAATTGAGTTGTTTTTCTTGTGAATAGTGAGCAAAGATACGGAGATTACAAAGTTGTTGCCATGGAAATGAAGTATACAGAAGAGAAGAAACACAGCACTGGGGGCGTCGGATCCTCTAGAGAGCAGAACATCTTTGCTATTGGATGGATTGTTTCTTAGATTTTGCAGTATTTCTTCACCATTATTACTTTTTTCTATTTCGGGGGGTTTCTCTACAGTGTATTCGTTTTTACAGTTTGAAGAGATGGGAAAAGATTACACAAATATTATTTTCTTTCTTTCTTTCTTGGTATCCCCTTTCTATTCATATCTGTGAATTGAATGGAAAAGGAAGCCAATAGGGAATAAAGGCTCATCCCACTTTAGCTTGTGAATGCATTTATTAGAGTCCGCTTTGCAGATGGTAAGTGGACAAGAGTTATTGCTGGAGAAACAGAGAAAAAATAAAGTCATTTGCCTTATAAAGATATATATTTTTGTAAATGGCATATCCAAAGGATCTGTGTCTTTCTATCTATCCCATTAATGCTCCACGAAACCATTATTTAAGATAGCTGTCAATTCTTCCATCTGATAAATAGAATGGAGATTTTAATGGGTTCTATTTTTAAAAATGAAATTTTATGTTATAAAATTTTAATAGAAAGATGATGTAAGATAAAAAAGTAATTCGAAATAATTTAAAACTTTAAAACTTTCTTTTCTTTTCTTTCCTTTCTTTTAATAAAACCCATTAAAATCAATCCTGATCTTCTTTTCCCTCAAATCAAACAGAAGGTAAAGAGAGATTCTCCTAGCATGCCAACAAAGATGCTTCTTGGTAAGATTAGAAGCTTTAAAAATATCCTCCAAAACCAAGAGGCATTGTGAGGTATTTTTAACTATAGCTTAGAATTTTTAAAATATTTGATTTTGATTGTTTTTCTAAGAAAGAATGCTCCTCAACATTAAGCACTCTCCAAATTTGCTTGGCCAAAAGAGCCAGATTCATGTTTTAAGTGTTCCTTAATCTAGAACCACCCTCTTAGGTAGGGGGAAAAAAAGAATTTTCCTTTTGCTAAGGAAGGCTTTCAAAGAACATCTTCTTCAATTTAGGCAAGTGCTCTATTTAAAGAAAGCATTTGAAGTTTCAATTGAAAGCTTTGTCTTTCATTTAAAACTCTCCTTTTTATCTTGAAGCTTGTCCATGAGATTATTCTTGCAAGAAATATTTTACGAAAATACTATCACAATTTCACTTTGCAATGTATCTTTGGCTGTAATTCTCCAAAATCTCCTAACCACATTTTTTGTGATTATCCTTATACTAGAGCTATTTAGTTTGGCTTTATGGCTATGCGCTTCTCTAATTTCTTAAATAGGTGGTTTATTTCTTTAATATTGTAGATTTCTTATGAACTCCATCATACTCAACAAGACCAGCTTTTGGAAAGCATATTTTTTCTAATTCACTTGATATGGTTCTATGGAAAGATTATTCATGTTGATCAAGTTAATTGTCAATTTCAAGGACAATATTTACAGTGTCATAATGACTAATTGCCACATATTTCAAGAGTAAAGTTCAGCGCGTATTTTGCTTTAGCCTCATATTCAACTCGGTCTTCCTATTTGGAGTGTTAAGCTTCACTTATTCAAGAAACTGAAAAAAGCCGACTGCGTTATTCATTTCTCTCTCAATGAGAAAGTCTGTGCTGAGGTGATTTTTTGCATATTTGGATATATATCTTCTTCACTCTTCATGACTTTCTGTTTTTGAACTTTCTTGCTTTGAATTTAGAATTTCTCTTGAAGTTTCTTTCAGAATTGGCCAAATCTGCAGTCTTGCATGTTTGGCACAATGAGGGAATTTGCTTATGCCCTACACGAAATCACCTCCTTAATCAGGATGTCCTTATATTTTTACAAGACTTTACCAGCTGCAGAGCTCAAAAGTGCAGTCCTGAAACCTTTATATTTTCGCTTTTACTCTATCTAGTTTTATTGTTAATTTTGTTTTAACGTTGTCATAGTAGCTACATTTTCTTGTTAATATATTTATCTTTTTTATTAAAAAAATGAAGGTAAAAGAGAGAGGTTTAGTAAAAGAATGAGATAATAGGCGAGAGACCTCAATTTTATAGGGTGCATGTATAGAAATTAGACCCGCCATCTTCTCCTATCTATTTTGATCCATATTGCTATTCATCTTATTTAAGAATTTATTTGGTTAAAGGGAAAGGGATGGGAGGGATTTTGCTTTCCTTCTTTTATTTGATTTGAAAAAGTGAAGAAAAAATCTCAATGTCATTAAAACCGAATCGGATATTAAACTAATCAAGGTACTAGTTCACGGTTTAATAATTGGATTGAGGTTGAACCGAGGTCAGACCGTTTATAATTAAATTAATATATTTCAAATATTTATATGTTAAAAATTATAATTATAGTACTTAAATTAATATTTTTTATAAAAAAATATTACTTTAAGTAATATAATTTAAACACTTCCTCACCAATACCATCCTAAAGTTTGTGGCCTCCATTTATTTGACTTTTTTTTTCTAAAAAGTTAAAACATTTATTATATTTGGTTTCTCATATGATTTAGCTTGCGTGCATAAAGATGGTTTTGCTTTTTCACGAGTTCTTCTCACTTCTTCTTGGACCAATAAGGCTGACTCCTTATGCCTTATGGCTTACATAATAGCTAGGAGCTACATAGATATTAGTGTCCCCAAAGAGAGTCATTTGATTCAAAGACTAAGTGTGCCACGAGCTTGTTAGGTGCGACTGGTAACAGATCGAGAGGGAGCTTCAGTCGCAAGATGAAGAGAGAGATTGATGATGCAAAGCTCGAGTGCGATGACTGATGAGGAAGAATGAAGAGGACTCAGTGATTCATGAAGAAGGCGCTCGAAGAAGATGATGCTTGCACTTGATTCTTGCAACTTGAGAGAACTTTAGTCACAATGTCTCCTTCATCCAAAAAAAATGTCTTTTTAAATAAAAAAAGCAACAGCTTATTTGTTAATTTGGAGAGAAGAAAAAAAAATAAAGTGAATTGTTTGAACTATTCAAACCGCCAGTTCTTCTGGTTCAAAGTCAGTTCACAGCCGATTCAAGCGGTTCACAAGCAGTTCTCTTCTCCTCTGGTTATGTGTTAGTTTTGGACCAACTACTTGGCTAGTTCTCGGTTAAACTGACCGGTCCAGTCCGGCCTTAATAATCATAGAAAATCTTAAGAAATCTCCCCTCCCTTCCAAATTAGGGGGATTGGGAGGGGAGGGGTATATATTTTTATACAATGATCAATATGTCTCCTTTTTAATTACTATTCTTCATCTTTTTAAACAAGTTTAACAATGATAAATTTTTAATAATATATTTAATAATGATAATTATTTTATATACTTATAATTATATGTTAAGAACATTCATAACTATATTTTATTTAAAAAAAATTAACAAGGATAAAGTTGTCTATATATATTTATATTTTTTTTCCTCCCTTTCTGAACCAAACAAGATAACATTAAAACCCTCCCCTCCTCTCCATAACAATCCCTTTTTCAAACCAAACACCCCTTAAATTTACTTGCAGCTACGGACCAACCTCATAGGGGGAGGCTGGGCATGGTAACCGTTAATCACTTAACATGCTTCTTCTTCTTTTAAATCTCAAACTAGCCTCCTGTCGGATTAAGCAGTTTATTTAATAAAATCATATTTTTATGGAATTCCTAAGTCCATTAGGCAAGACTCAATAGGCTTGTAATAGTCTCGCAAGTGGTCGTCCATAATGGTTCTCGAGCACTTCACATCCCCCCTGTCGCGTGCCTTCATAAAATTGAGGCCTCTGTTAGGGTTACCAACTTTCTATAATGTCCCTTGCTAATCTAAGCATGTACGGCCGTGACGAAACTCTCTCACTCGACTTTCTCATCATAAGTTATAGCCTTCTCCTCGGCTCCTACCTCCCTCGTCTTTTATGATTATTATTATTATTATTTAATGAGCCAGCGTCCTTCGAAAACACTAACTCTCGTGCAGTCTCTCAAGTCTCAATTTTAAAACATCTGTAATTTTAAAGTTTTATTTTTATGAGATAATAAAATTTTAGCCCATCAAATTTATCTTGATTATCAACTTAGCCTTTTAAGTTTAATTTTTATCAATTTAGTTTCTTAATTTTACTTTAATTATTGATTTTGTCTTTATTATTTTTTGGCCTAAAGACAATTTGGTTATTATTATTTAAATAGAAGGTAATATTATTAAATCTGTTAACATGAATAATAAATATTAATAGCAGTCATATAAATCAATGAACAGAAGTATAACTATTTAGATAAACAAAAAGGACTTAGAAATTTTAAAAAACAAAAGAACAAAACGTATCATATATGACTAAATTAATAAAAATTAAATTGATTTGAGAGTTTTTTTTTTCACTTAGCTACACATGCATAATAAGTTATCAAAATATTTTATACATTATATTAATTTTAGATAAAATTTGTTTTTTAAAATTTAAAGAACTAATACGATAATTTAAAAAAATATAAAAGATTAAATTAATAAAAATTAAATTGATAATTGAATCAAACTCGTGGGGTTAAAAATTTCATTATCTCTATTTTTTTTTAGATGTTGGCACTTTAATTAAGATCTCAACGAATAATGATCAACAATAATTATAAGTTAAATCGTCTCTCTCTTTTTGGCCGGCCAAGCCAAGCCATCCCATGCATCCGCTCTTTCTTCACTAATTGAAGGCATCTTCTCCCCCCCCCCCCCCAAAAATAATATAATACTCTCTATTTTAGAGTAGAAGTCTTTTTGGAAAATATATTTCATTTTACAAGTCTCCTTAGAAGTTCAATCTTCATAGCCGCATTTATTTTAAAAAAATATTATTATATTCATACTTATTCCAGTAACTCTACTTAGTATTTGGATTAGTGAATTTAAATTATAAATTCAAAATCTCACATTTTAAATCTCATGTTTAAAATTTATGTATTTAAATTTTTTGTTTGTATAATTTAAAAATTTTTAAATAAAAAAGATAAATGAGTGAAGATTCAAAACGAAAATAGAAAATTAAAAGTGATGATTATACCTTTACTTTTCAATCAATGAAAGATGAGAGTGTGATATGAAAAAAAAATGATAGTCATAGAGACATTAATAGTAAAAATAAAAAGAGAATGAGATATTTAAAGTTGATAAAATTTCAAATGACTATAGTGCAAAGAAAATTTAAAATTATTAAAAATTATAATAAAAAATGAATTTGGATTTGAATGTAACATAAATACATAAATTTTTATATATTCAAATGAAAAATTAGGTCTAAGTATAAATCCATCTCCAAATCTCATTATTCCAAACACAAGTTTGGTGACATGATCACAGCTAAAGTCCTTTTTGTTCAAGAAAAACATGTGGGCGTAGCGGATCAGACCCAAAAGAAATCTAATACTCTGGGTAGAGACTATGAAGCAAGAAGTCCAATAAGAATTGGGAAGCCCGTAGTTGAGAAGGAGAAGTTTTATACGAAAACAGATCCAACCTCGCGAAGCACTACAGATGGGAAGGCGCTCTGCTCATGTTCTCCTTCCCAAGTTGCATGGATCACTCGGGAAAGACCTCTGCAATTCCATACATGTTCCACTCTCCCTTTCCTTCTGCTCCCAACCTGTTTCAGAGACACCTTCTGAAACCCACTATACCCAAATTAATGAGCTTCCTGTAGAATTTAGCAACCAACCCGATTCACAGGAACAGGAACGGCTTGAACGAGTTAGCAACTTTCGAAATTTACTTGAGAAAGGTCGCGGACATGCCGTCCAAAAGTTCATCAAATCCCTGGTTCTTTCTAAAAGCCCATTTTCTTCTCCCTTCGACATTCTCGCCTACTTCTCTCTCTCAGCACCCTCCTTGAAACCCGTCTTCTCAAATTTGCTTTTCCGGGCTTGCTCCGAGTCCGAGATGGTCGATGAGGCCGTGGAGTTGTACTCTTTGATGAGGAAAGATGGTATGCTTCCTTCGACTGGTTCTGTGAATCGGTTGCTCGAAACTTTGATTGTTTTGAAACAGTATAAGAAAATTCTTGATCTTTTCTCGGATTTTGTGGAGTCTGGTATTCGACCCAACACTTTCTCCTACGGCAAAGCTGTTCAGGCGGCAGTGATGCTGAAGGACTTGAAAAGGGCTCTGGAATTGATGAATGACATGGAGGAGGTTGGAGTTAGCCCATCGTCGTTTATTTATAACCTGGTAATAGGTGGGTTGTGTAAAGCGCGGAGAACCACGGATGCCCACAATCTGTTTGATGAAATGATCAAAAGGAAGCTGGTTCCGAATTTGGTTACTTATAATACGCTGATTGGTGGGTACTGTAAGGTGGGAGAAATAGAGAGAGCTTTGGCTTTGAGGAAGAGGATGATGATCGAAGATGTGGAGCCTAATCTTGTCACGTACAATACTTTGCTGAGTGGTCTTTGTGATTCACAGAGGATGGCAGAAGTGAGGACGTTGTTGCAAGAGATGGAGGCTCAAAAGTTTTTGCCCGATGGATTCATTCGTTTTATATTTGATGATGTTTCGAGTGGAAATGGTTATACTTCACCGGACAAAGGGTGGACAATCGACGAATATACTTGTAGTATTTTGTTGGATGGATTATGCAGAGCGGGGATGGTTGAAAAGGCCATGGAGGTTTTGGCCAAACTAACAGAGAGTGGATTTATACCAAGTAAGATAGTGTACAATATATTAGTGAATGGATATTGCCAAAAGGATGACACAGAGAAAGCCATACTGACAATTGAACAAATGGAAGAACTTGGATTGGAGGCTAGCTATGTGACTTTCAATACCCTGATTAACAAGTTCTTCGAAATAAAGGAGGTGGACAAAGCTGAGAGATGGTTGAAGAAGATGGTACAAAAGGGTGTTCTCCCAAGTCTGGAGACTTACAACATTTTAATTAATGGCTACGGCTCCATGAGTCAATTTGACAAATGTTTCCAGATCCTCGAGGAAATGGAAAAAACAGGGATAGAACCAAGTGTCTTAAGCTATGGTATTCTAGTAAATTGCCTGTGCAAAGGAGGCAAGCTTCTTGAAGCTGAACTGATCTTTGCGGATATGTCAAACCGGGGGGTTTCTCCAAACGCAGAAATATATAATATGCTCATCGAAGGCAGTTGCACGATGGGCAAAATGACAGACGCCTTGAGATTTTTTGATGAAATGATTAAAAATGGACCAGGTGCAACTCTTGTAACATACAATTCGCTCATATATGGACTCGGAAAAGATGGAAGGATAACAGAAGCTGAAGAGTTTTTTCACCAAATGATTAGCAATGGATACAGTCCGGATGTGATCTCATACAACTCCTTGATCGCAGGATTTGCTAGGTCAGGAAACACCCAGAAATGCCTTGAATTGTATGATAATATGAAGAAAGAGGGCATAAAACCTTCTGTTAGGACGTTTCATCCTTTGATCAATGCAAGCATCAAGGAAGGGGCGGTGACAGCAGAGAAGCTGTTTCAGGAAATGTTAGAAATGGGTTTGGTTCCAGATCGGGTTGTATATAATGCAATGATTTACGCTTACACTGAAGAAGGGGATGTTGAGAAGGCAACGTCTTTGCACCAACGGATGGTTGAGCAGGGTATTAATTCGGACAGAGTAACTTATAACAGCTTAATTCTGGTATGGCTTAGAGATAAAAAGGTGTCGGAAATCAAGCATGTTGTTCAAGAGATGAAGGTTAAAGGAGTGGTTCCAAAAGCCGATACATATAACATACTGGTGAAGGGATATTGCGACTTGAAGGATTTCAATGAGGCGTACTTTTGGTATACAGAAATGTCTGACAGAGGTTTTTCCCTAAATGAACGCATCTGTTATCAACTTATCTCCGGACTTAGCCACAAGGGTATGCTACAAGAAGCTCAAATCATTTCCTCAGACTTGAGTTGCAGAGCACAATAACTAGTACAAGGCTCAAGTAGTAAATCTTCGACATTCTAGAACAGTGTCACAATTTTGCCCGTGAGTGATCAAGTAGAAGTATTAGATTCATTTGTTGTAGCCACAATACAATGTAAACTCTGCAGACGATTTCTATTGCTTCTCACTCCAATTTACATCGTTAATTTGTCAAGGCCACAGTCTCGTGAGAAATCGTGGGGGTCATGCTTTGTTTTAGAAGGGGCAGAAGTAGATTATATTTTCATAATTCGTGTAGCAACAGTGTGAGTTGTGTGTGTCAAAGAATGAATGGTGGAAATTACGTTTTCCAAAAGCAGCCACCAATACGGTGAAAAGTGAACATGCATTCTGGAAATGATGTAATGTATTCATTTCCATGTTCTGATACCAATTTCAAAGTGCTTCGAAATGATAGGGCTATGTTTCAATGATTCCCGGAGCAAGGCAGATTTTGCACAAATTTCGTCACACAACTTAAATATGATCATAGTATTCTGTGTCTCAAGATAAGTAGATAATAATAAACGCCGTTCCATCAAACACTTGACCATTTACGTGGAAACGATTACCGTTAAATCCCATCCTTTTCTATTCCTTTTTGTCAAGTACATCAAGCATAACAAATCACAACAAAACGTCGTCTTCTTGTTTTTCGCGACAACACCAACGAAAGAGTCTGTTTATTCATAATATTGAGGTTCATTCACTGAGCCAACTACAAACAGTAATCTCATACTGGCGTTCCATAATCCGCAAAACTAGAAAGAAATCAAGGCCTAGCTCACCGTGGTTTAAGAAGTTAGAGCACTTTCAGCATATCCTCTGCAGCACTGAATGTGAACGCACCGCCTTCCTCCAAGTTCAAGACCTTCACAACACCATCCTCCGCCAGAAGAGCGTACCGCCTAGAGCGCACACCCAATCCAACAGGCTTATCGCTCAAATCGAGCTCGCACCCAATCGCCTTGGTGAACGTCCCGTTGCCGTCGGACAAGAGAAGCACTTCCTCGTTGACCTTCAAGGCCTCCTTCCACGCCTTCATCACGAAGGCGTCGTTAACCGAAATGCAGGCAATCGTGTCGACCCCTTTCGATTTGAGCTCGGCGGATTTCTCGACGAAGCCCGGAACGTGCTTCTGGGAACAGGTCGGGGTGAAGGCGCCGGGGACAGCAAAGAGAATGGCCTTCTTGCCCTTGGTGAGTTCGGAGACGGTGACGGTCTTGACATCGCCGGCAGGGTCGAGGAAGGAAAAGGTGGCCTCGGGGAGCTTGTCGCCGACGGAGATGGTGGCGGAAATGGTGGATTTGGCGGTGAAAGGAGCAGAGAGTGGGAGGGAAATAGGGCGGCGATGGTTGAATTTGAGAGTAGAAGGGGTGAGGGAGAATTTAGAAGAGAGGGTGGAGGAAAATGCTTTAGGAGGGAGGCGAGATTTGCCAGAGGTGGCGACGGCGGCGGTGGTTGAGAGGAGCCTGGAGAATGTGATAGATGCGGCCATGGGGATTTTGGGAGCAGATATTTGGGTGAGGAGCAAGAGCTGTGGGGTTATGACTTATGAGCAAGGAGAGGCTGAAGAGACGACACCTACGAGGAAGAAGGGGGAGGCCTGGATGGTTTGGCCGATTGCGAAGATTTGATCCTCACCGGCTTGCTGCGCTATTTTGTTATTGTATGCTACCCGTAGGGATGAGACAAAACGGCGCTGCGAAATAAATAAATAATAATTATCTCTTATTACCCCCTAATTATTTTTATACTTAATAATATTGTTTTTGATAATGACCTGCTATTTGGTTTTTTTTTTTTTTGGTAGCATTCAATGTTTGTTGTGGAGAATCGGTATAAAGGTTTAAAAAGCAAGCTTATTTGATAGAATTGATAAAAGGGATGGAAGGCGTATTCTAAATCCTTGAAATCTGTAAACAAGCTTTAAACGAGCCTTTGGAATTTGTAGATGGCCTTTAAGTTTTAATGTTATGTAACATATTTTACCTATAATGCCCAGACTAGTTTCATACATTTTTCTTTTCTTGATTATTTTATTAAGAGGGCAGTTTTTTATAAGAAGAGGTGGAGGGCTTTTATCATGTTTGGATAACGTAACTTTTTTGTGAATTTAATATATTGATGAGTATAAAAAGTATGAAAAGATTAAGATTGATGAATAAATAAATCAAGGGGAGAATGCTAGTAATTATGGTGGGGAAGTGTGGATCCCCTCTGTCGGGAACTTTGGGCTTGCTTGCCGGGGACGCTGGACTGAGGAATACAGCCGAGGAATCAGATTATAGTGTGGCCATTGGGCTTTATCGAGGGAAGTCCACAACTCACAAGCATCCTCGTGCGCCCCAAGATATGCTGATATTCTTCCTGGAATGAAATCCCATGGCTTGTGAGTTTGTGATTGGGTGGTGGAAAGTCCGGCATGTTAGCAGATATTCGAATTCGGTAACTGATATGCTAGCCGAGATGGCGTCAGTCTCCTTTGCCTTTCTATTCACGTTATACTCCCTCGTATCGTTATCTAAAATTAATAAAGAATAGTTAAATTATTAACTTTATCAAAAAATAAAAATAAATTGATAACTTTATTCTTGTTAAAATGAAAATTTTTAAAATTTTATTACATTCTTTTTTTATTGTTAATGAGTTTAAATAAAAATAATATTAAAAAAATATGATTAACTTCCTATCAAATGTCAAATGTCAAATGTCAAAGAAGTGTCCTGTAAGAAAGATAAGGTAATACTCTCTTTATTTAAAAATATAAAATATTTTTAATCTTTTAAAGTATAATTATTATTTTTTTTAAATACTCCTATTGATAGTAACTTTATATTTATTAGAGTGTGTTTAATGGAGATAAATATGAAAAGATAAGATTAATTTAAAAGTAATTAACTATTTTATTGAATAATGAGATTTAATTAAAAATATTTTATATTTTTAAATAAAGAATATGTGATTCATGCACATGAAAACAAGGAGCATCGGATTGCTAGTGGCTGATGACGCGCGATGGCTCGCTGCTAGAGCGTTCTGCACAGGCGTTCAACTTCAAATAAGAAACGACGCACAAGCTACCGCCAATCGTGGGTTTTAAAATTATTATGTACACATGATCTGGACTTTGTTGGAGTACGTCAACGTTGTTTAGTTTGTGCTTTGCGAATTGTCAACTGAGTAGTGAACCTTTCAATGACGATCGAACAAAAAATACCTAAGCAGGGTGACTTCGAGGGAGACCGAATGCCGCTGACTTAAAAATTAAAACTGCGAGTGGGTCCCAATAAAATAAGAGTGCCAAAGCTACCTAAACAATAATACAATACTGACGCCTGGAGTCTGGCCGAACCCCGTTAATGTTTGTTCATCGATGCGTCACCCTCACTGTTTGCATTGAATATTCTAGACGCTGTGGCTGTATATATTTTCAAAAATGGTATCCGAGATAAATTCATGTATTAATATTCTCAATTTTTTTTCAAAAAACATAACCATTAGTTCTTAAAAGTTTATGTGTTTTATTATTGATCCATATTTTTTTTATTTTTTATTTATTCATGTCTCTATAATTTTTTTGTTTGCAATGTTAGTCTTTATATTTTTTAGATGATGATGTAGCTTTAATATTGTTAAATTATATAACATGTAGCCAATATCATTTAACTGAGCATCAAGTGAAGGTTATGTTTTATTTCTTTCGTTTTTATAAACATTGAATTCGTATTATTCACCTTTGCTTTGGCTTTGCCCACCACGTCAAATTACTTTGTTTTATTTTTTCTAATTTTGAAATCATTGGTTGTTATTTTTGTTCAATGTTGGTGTTTGAGTTTGATTTGTCTTCATGCAGCCAAGCAAATTCTTCAATTAATTCCTGCTGATATTTATTATTTTGTATATGTGTGACTGCCTTGACTCTTTCTTATTTTAACATTCAATTTAATACCATTAGTTATACTTAAATAATTTAATGTTGTTAGTGTCACATTTTCATTCCAAAGAACATATTTAAAAATAAAGGAATAAACATTGCAGTTGAAAATTACAAAGATCGATAGTTGTATTTTTTTTTAAAAAAATACAAATATATTTTTCTCTGTTGGATATACGATATTCAAATAAGAAATTATTTGCATTGATACTTAAGTTCTTTTCATAATATTTAGAAATAAATTTTTTCAGTAATTATTAATAAAAATATGTAAACTTCAACACATTGATTATTTTTTATAAAGATTTTAAAACTGACTATGAGTATTGTAGTAGGAGAATTCTTACTCTGCACACACGTATAATAAATATATATAAATTGCACTATTATATTAAAAAGTTATTATGTCAAGAATCTCAAAATAAAACATTTATTCTGTCTAACTAAAAATATCTAAGTTAATTGAATATATTGTAATTAAGAATTAAAATGAAGCCATTTAGCAATTTTTTCATTTTAAAAAGTTATATAATTTTGAAAGTAAAAGAAAAAATTTGCATAGTTTTTTAACTAGACAAATATATTATTTGATTGAAATTAATTAAAAGAATGCTAGCATATAATCTTTGCTAAATAAACAAATTACTCTATGAACTTTAAATCAAATGACATTGTAGATCCTAAACTTGATCCTTATGCAAATTGTTTTTTCAAACTTTTAAATACGGCACAGTTTGGCTTTTATTGTTAACAAAAATCAATCTTGATTGTTAGTTGACTAAAAAATAATGGAAGAATACTCCAAAAATTACATAAAAAAATCATAATAAATGATCTAAAAATTATAGGCAAAGATCCAAAAATTACAAAATAATAATAATCATTTTTTGTAATTTTTGATTTTGTTCCCTTTATTTTGTGGCTAATTAATAGTTAAAGTTAACTTTTACTAATAACAGAGTTAGATTGTATCGTTTTTTAAAATCGTGGGACAATTTACACAATAAATAAATTTAAAATTTATATTACTGCTGAATATAAAATTCAATAAGTAATTTATTCAATTAACTTATAATCTTTAAAATGGACGATGTAAGTGCAAAAAAACGAAATTCCAAAAACTGAGTTTGACCATTGACCACCTGGTGGCCGATGCTCCAATGTCCGGGAAAGAATGCTAGCGAGATTTTAAGATTGATCGGCATTCCCTTAAATATCTATATCGCAAAATTTAGCGAGGAAAATCATAAAAATAAAGTCGGGAGAAAATATTTGGTCGGACGGCATGGCCCAGTAACCAGCATCATTCCAGAATTATCCATCATAATCTCTTTTTTCATTTTATTTTATTGAAAGGACGCATACTTGATGTTTCGGTTTTCCAGTTAAAACGTCATTGTTGAGAGGGCAAGGGCACGTAAATATCTTCAGAGAATCCTCGTAGCATCTATTTCGAGCCAGATTACAACTTGTTGCCGATCCTCAAAACTCATGTGATCACATCCCAAAAATAAAAAATGACTAATATACATGTAATTACTTTACATATTTTCATAAGCTTTAAAATAAAAATTTATTTTATTTTATTTTTTTAAAAATAATGAAATTATATAAAAATTTTAATACTTTTAATAATAGTTGTCATAACAAAGCCTCAATGTTTTTGTTTTAATTTTTGTTTTTGTTTTTCATGTCAATCAGGAATTTAACTCTTCCAAAAACAAACAACATTAAATATAACATATGTGGAATACTTAATCAAACTTCTTCAAAAATAAAATACGTAAACATTTATCGTTACATAAAAAGAGAAATTTCGATCAGTTTTTCACCCAGCATATCTACAAAATAAAATTTTTTTATAAACAAATTTCTAAATAAAAACTAATGGAATATAAATAATTAAATAATCGAATTTATAATTATAGGGACTTATCAGAACAATTAATAAACGTGAATACATAATTTACGAGAGTAAATAACCAAACGCGGCTTGTGACACGAAACAAACATGGACACACAGTTCACGAGAGTAAGTAACCAAACGCAGCGGAAGTCACGAAACAAACGTGGACACACAGTCTATGAGGATAATGCTAACCAAACGCGACTCGAAATTACGAACACAAACACAAGTATGAGACCCACAATAACAAATGTGAGACTAAAGCTTACAAAAATTGAACTAGCTAGTCATTGATCATAGCTCGCTGAGGGCTAACGAAACTATCGTTAGCAACCAGTGTTTTGTATAAAATTTTCTTTTAAATTCATTTTCAAACATGCGAGAAAATCATCACTTTCAAGATAAAATTTTCATTTTCAATGTTAAGCTCGCATGAATCGTGTTTCCATAGCAATTTAGTAATTTTCAGAATGAAATCCCACAATTAAAATCTAAACTTGTATTTACTGATTAACTAAAATTATCAAATTTGATGAAATAATTCTATGAGATAAAGTAATTTAATCAACAAAATATATAGTAATACATTGTTCTTGTAAAAAGAATTTTCATAAAAATGTAATATTTTAATAAATGAATTTTATTGAAATATCAGTTGAGATGCTATCCACTTACTTGAGGTAATCCTAACATTGTAATTTATCCCTTAATATTCCTCATAACAAGGTTTATTCCTGAAACATTCAATATAATAATAATTGAGTTTTTAAAATTTAATAAAACTTGTAATTATTTACTCACTTATTGTAGTATATTCTCACATTGCTCTTGGACACCAATATTTTTAAATTTTTATTCCAAAGAAATTCATGTCCTTCGCATTTCTTTTTAGCCCCCAAATCATAATAATCCACTAACATGTTTTAACTAAACAATACCATTATTCACATTTACACTCTTCCCACGACACCTCATCAAACATTTTATATGCATTCTAAAATCAAATCTTATATAGGTATGAAAACTTATAAATTGCTAACCATATAATCCTCAAGCACCAACAATTCCTTTATAAAGTTTACTACATTCAATTTGATAACAAGATTCAACATCCTATAAGAGCAAAACATGATTCTAAATTTAATTTAATTTTAAATTTTTTTCCTTAACACAACCGTAGCCCATCTAAATAATTCATAATTACCCTAAACATCATCATTTATGTCACAATTTCTTTGCGATGCTCAGATTAAAATTCTACTAAATAACATTTAAATCAATCATCCCTTTTACTTCAATCAATAGAATTTTAGAAAATACCCACTCAAGCAAAAACTCTCCAAACAGGCATTTAATCAAACATTTTATAAGTATCAATCTTTAAGCTCATATTAATTTTTCCTTCCTCGATATCACTTCCTTAAATTTTTCAATAACAATGTTATAATCAATAATCCAATCAACTTCAATTAAAACTCAAAACCACTCCATCATCTCCTTCTCTTATACGACCACACGTTTCATCTTAAATCAGGCTTTTCCTTCACACACACATATGCAACCAGTCACGTTTAACAGCAGCAGCAGAGGAGAAAATTTTTGCAACTCAAATCATCAACTCACACACTCGCTCGCATGAAAAATAAATAGGAAGAAGGCTTGAAGTTCCTATACTAGAAATTACCAAACAAAGATAGCGAAGGGAAGAAGAAATCACACCTTAAGCTGAATAGGGGAGGCAAAATCTGATACATCATGTGGAAAAAGGAAGACCAAAGCTAGCAAAATCAAAACAAGAATAAAAAAGAATTATGGATAGTAGCTCAGTCTAGTATTTCAACTTTCATGCATCAGCTCCCACGCACCAGCAATGATGTAGCCGTGAATGGAGAAGGCAAATCATCAAACGAGGAAGACAACTGGGTGACGGCAAGCGCGCTATTGTCACTGGCTAGAGGATAAGACCATGGAGAGGAAGATGATAGGAAAGGATTTTCGGATCTGAGGTTCGAAGCTACTAGAATCGAGAGAAAAAAAAATCTCCAACTGTCTCTCCCTCTAGTTTAGAACGCGTGTGCATTGCCGAAAAAGAGAAGAAAAGAAGAGGAAAAATGGAGAAGACTTGATCTGAGGCAAAACGGAGAGAACTCACCGAAAAAATTGAGAAAGAACAAAAGGAGATAGCAACCATAAGACCACCTCAGTTGAAGGATCCAGAAATATTTTTTTCCCTTCTGCGTGCGTCTGACAGAGAGGGAGGAAAATAAAAATATAAATATTAGAAAATTACAAAATTTACAAAAGAAGACACAGTATTTTCCTCTAATAACATAAGAGAAATGGGCATTTTTTATAATTTGTTCCAAAATTTTAAACTAATAAAATTTAAGCTATCAATTAAAAGAATTTAAACTCTAAATTTTTAAATAAACTATTAGTATAAGTTTCACTAAGTCATCACTTTTCATTTACTATAAAATTAATTTAAATAAAATATAAATTAAAATAATATTTTTATTTTTTTATATTTTAGGATTATTGCACATGCAGTCACGTTAAAAATATATAAAATATAGTAATGTGCTAAAAATAATCATTTTATATCATCTCAGCAACGCTGGATTGCAACTCACACACACACACACACACACACATACATGTGTGGGTGTATTTTAATTACAAAGGCAAGCCCAGCAGCTAGAGTACTTTGAAATTGTTCGTCTACAGGGGTACTGGCAACTAGTTAGTCATGCCAATAGAAATAGTATAAATTACCTTTACATGCCACGAACTATAAGTGTGTATATATATGTAATATATAGTATAGTCTTGGAACCTGATTTAGAGATGAACGCGTAGGCGTGGATGTGTGAAATCATCAAGGTAATTAGCAATAACGTTTTTGTTTGCCCTGATCTCGGAGAAGTCGGCAATTAATGGCACAATGGCATGCTGCATGCCAACGTGGTGCATGCGTCTACCAAACTTTTTCTAAGTCTGAACTAACAATTCAGCATTCACCTCACTCTTGGCAGATAGAACATGTAAAAAAAAAAAAAAAATCCCAAAATTGAACTCTTGGGTTTTTTCGTGATACAGTTAGTTTAAACACAAAAAAAGGGAAATATATTGTTAAAAAAAAGGAGGAAATATATTTGCTTGCAGGTTAGGAAAATGTCTAATGCCTTTGACGGATTTTTTTTCGTCTGTCCTTTCTTTTTTCACATCGCCATCCTTTTTCTGGTATTGTCAAATTTTTTTCTTACATTTTTTATGTAATTCCTTGGCACTGCTAGCCTTGTTTTTTTTTTTTTAAAAAAGCTCTCTCAATCAAAAAATTAAGATATTTTTAATTGAATCTTATATTTTGAGAAATTAATATCATTCTATATCTACCCTTATTCAATGAGATATTTTATTTTAAAATAAATATAAAGTAATTTATTTATTATAAATACTTTTATAAAAAATACATTAATTGTATTTTAAAATATTAAAAATATTTTATATTTTTTAATATTGAACTTTTCAAAGAATATTACAATAAAAAAGACGTATCCTTCATGTAAAAGGAAGAAAAAAAAATAAAAGGACACATTATACACACAATACATAAGATTTCAAGCTTATCTTTTATTTTGAAAACATGATTTCTCGGGTCCATTACATACTCCAAATCAATTTAAGTAGTCGAAATAACATGATGATATTTCTTGTGGCGACGATTTTCTTTTCAACTGGTCAATATAGGTAAATTTAACTGGACATTGGTTTGCATGAAGTATGATAGTTTTTATTTAATTGTTAAATATGACATTAACGATAGCATGATTTAATTCTAAAAATGGAAAGAAGTGCTTCCATTTCCATATTTTAATGCTTGCCACAAAAAAATGGTCAAATGATATTATTAGGACATAATCTTATAGAAAATCCGCCTTTGAATTGAAATTGAAATAAACGTTAAACTACGTTTAAAAAAAAAAAAACTGTTATGAGTATATGACTTGTCATCGTGTCGAAGGGATGGCATAATTTTACTGCAAGCCAAAAGGAACCAAAAGATTAAAAAAAAAAAAGGAATTTTTTATTTTTATTCTTATTTTACTGGGTGCGTGCTGAAACTAGTGGGTTCTCCGAGTCTAAACTCTAAACCTAGTGCCTGGAAACTTAATCAGGGGTTATAAATAACAGCCATTCTTCAGTGTTTTCGGTGTTCCCGTAAACAAACTGCTTGCAAGTCGCCACTTCTTCATCTTTCACTCGCTTTAGATCTATGGCTACCATCCAAAGTATCAAGGCAAGGCAGATCTTCGACAGCCGTGGCAATCCTACCGTCGAGGTTTAAATCTTTCCTTATTCCCAGTCCTTCTTCGCCGCCATCTTAATCTTTACGATTTTGATCATTTCTAGGCGTCCGATCTGTTCTTTAACAGTCACCGTCCCTACCATCCTTTCTTTCTGTCTTCCTTTACTTTCGCAGTTTGTTGGTCGTTTCCCCCGATTCAGCTCGATTATTTAATGTAAATGATTCCTCGGAGTTATTTTGAATGCTTTGAATTCACTTGAGTGGACAGTCATTTAAAAGCCTGAATCGAATGTTCTCATCTTGCTTACTTTGTTTTAATTTGTCCGTGAGAAATGGTTTTTGTTACTGAGAAGCCTTTTAGGCTTAGATCATCAGAAATTTTCATAACGTTGTTGATTGCTACAGGTAGATTTGAAGTGCTCCGATGGTACCTTTGCTAGAGCTGCCGTTCCCAGCGGTGCTTCCACTGGTATGCTTTAACCTGGTTTACCTTTTGTCGTGGGTCGCGTTGGTTTTTGACAGTGTGTGGGCATGTGTGCGTCTTTTCTTTTCCGTGCTCTGAACGGAAGATCGTTTCTCTTGTCATCTCTACTGATCTGTGATGTTAGAAACTTTGCAAATTTTTTTATTGTTTTTCATTTTAATTTTTAATTTCAATCTCATTCCGTTCAAGCACTTTATATCGCTTGACTTTAGTCATTTTAGATACTTACATTTAATGGTATTTTGCTTATTCTTATGTAAACAACCGATTTTATTCAGGGATTTACGAGGCTCTTGAATTAAGAGATGGAGGATCTGATTATCTCGGTAAAGGTGTATCAAAGGTAAGTCTCGAACCCTGCACTAAAAGTGTGATAAATTCCTGCAGCGACATATCTACATGTATCATGCTTACTTTGTTTCCCCCCTCAATTAGGCGGTTGATAACGTGAACAAAATTATCGCGCCTGCATTGATTGGCAAGGTTGGTTAAATTCTTTTCTTTTAGTATTGCTATTTCGGTATTTATAAAGTATGCCCCTGATAACTTGTGTAGCAGTCTTGTGATAGTCTGATTATGGTCTTCTAGTACATCAGTGGAGGATTTTAGTAGATTTGTCTGGCATAATCTCACGCCACTGTTACCCTGTGACAACGGACAGGACCCGACTGAGCAGGTTGCCATTGACAATTTCATGGTTCAGCAGCTTGATGGAACTGTTAATGAATGGGGTTGGTGCAAACAAAAGGTGCTTAATGGATCATATTTGTTACTTTACATTCCTCAATATAATTCTAATTGTTAATGCAACTTTTGTTTGTTTGTTTGTTTCAGCTTGGAGCAAACGCCATATTGGCAGTGTCTCTTGCAGTCTGTAAAGCTGGTGCTAGTGTCTTGAAGATTCCTCTTTACAAGGTATATGATGCTTGAGCTGTGAGAGTAACTTGCCACATGTGAAGTACACGAGTGGATCATTATAATGAATATTTTCCCCTGAGAGAGCTAGCATCTTATGCAAACTTATATTTTTTTTCCTATAACATGTAATGCTATGGATTGACCAAATCCATACTTATGAGAAAAACAATTAGATCTGGTCTACATTTTTTGAGTGTGGGGGGGCCAATGTAATGTATTTCAATATCTTGCACTGATATTGCCATGCCTTTTTATGCAGCATATTGCAAATCTTGCGGGTAACAAGAAGTTGGTGTTGCCTGTTCCCTCTTTCAATGTCATTAATGGTGGATCACATGCTGGAAACAAGCTTGCCATGCAGGCATGCTATCTGAACTCTGCTTCTCTTTTTCAGTTTGCACTAGAGAGAGAGAGTGAGTTTATATGCAATGAGTATCTTATCCTTTTATATGCATAGGAATTTATGATTCTTCCTGTGGGAGCATCCTCTTTCAAGGAAGCCATGAAGATGGGTGTGGAAGTATACCACCATTTGAAGGTCCGTTGGAGTGAAATGTATTTGCCTCTCAAAAAAAGTGTGCTTAATGCTTTCCATATGCTTTGTTTTGTCAATATAAGTTGATGAATAATCCATTCCTTTTATAGTTCTCAAGATTTAAGCCTTTGTTATCCAGCTTTATTAGGGTCCTGTTACTATAGTTTCGGATCATCTGTTGTTTTTCTTTACACTTTCTACTTATATCTGCTTTTGTCCCTGTTGATTTTCATCTTTCATGTAAATTTTTACTGCTGTTTTTTATTAGCCAATTATGGCAATCATGCTATGTCATTTCAGGCTGTCATTAAGAAGAAGTATGGTCAAGATGCAGTGAATGTTGGCGACGAAGGCGGCTTTGCTCCTAACATCCAGGTCTACACAGCCACAACCTCCTTTTGATCTTTCACGCATATATAACTTGGATCCGTGATTAGTTGTTGGTCGCTCACTGACAATAGCATTTCTTGTGAGTGTTCAGGAGAACAAGGAAGGACTGGAACTGCTGAAAACTGCCATAGAGAAAGCTGGCTACACAGGAAAAGTAAGTTTTCTTATTATTGTCCTACTTTAATTCTACTTATGGTTCTTTAAACTTTCTTAATCGCTTCATTTCTGAGAATTTGACAATTTTCTGTTATATTCTTAGGTTGTCATTGGAATGGATGTTGCTGCTTCTGAATTCTACAAATCAGACAAAACATATGACCTGAACTTCAAGGAAGAGGTGAGCTCATGGTAATATGTAAAACACTGAAGTGTGGGGTAGTTGAAATTTAAGTTCTGCTCACTCAATTTTACTTTGAAGATTCTACATTCTCCCTGTCCCTATAAGGTGTTTTTAACTTAATTTCGGATACTAATAAAAGTTCATTATTTTGTTGAAAGCACATAAGCCTACAACACATCTTAAATTTTGCCGGAAATAATGTCACAATTAATATCAAAGTACACAATTAATATCTCCTCCTTTTCAAGATAAGGGCAAAACTGTCTAATTACTTAAATATCATGACACCTCTTGTATTAAGGACAGAATAAGGTTTTAGAAAACACCCTATATGGGAGCACCTTGGTAACCAAAATTATGGTTAACACACGAGGTGTTGGTCACCTTGTACAGGCTCGAGAAATGGGAACTTAACTGTGATGTAGCAATAATTGATGGATAAAACAGAAGTTTCTAATATATTTCATTTCTTGATATTTCAAGTTGCTGTCTGCGCCTAAAGGTTTGTCTGGCTTGTGTCATACCTTTTTTCATGGAAATAAGATATGTTTGTTGCCCGTTTATCCAAAAAAAGGGTTAGGGCCTTTTTGGCAACATCTTTTCAAAACAGTTTTTTCTAAAAAACTAGAAAATGAAAAAACGTGTTTGAAAATGTGTTTTCTGTTACCTGTTCTGAAAAACAAAGAAGTTAAAAGTTATTCTGCAGAACTAAAAAACCAGAACATCTTTTGGATGTTTTGTTTCTTTTTGTTCTGCAAAACTAGAGAAAATGTGGAAAATATCATGCTTTCATTAATGACAATTATGTTAGTAAAATAAATTATTCATTCACCCTTTATTTCATCAATTTAGATATGTTTTTAAATATAATAATTCAAACAGATTTTTTTTTTCCCATTTTTTGTTTCCAAAAATTGTTTAGAAAAACTATTCTACAGAATTATTTTGAGAACATGAAAACAGAAAACAGAATCAAGCCCGCCCTATATTTGTTCTCATCTTTCTCCTGCTTGGTATTATGTGTTCGCATGTCTGACTGCTTGAGAAGATCATTAACAATCGATGCTAATATAAACAAATAATCCAATTTGGAAGGATCTCGTGTTAATGGTGTATGGTTTACTGTTATTCCTTTGTAGATATGTGCCGGTTTAATTTTATTTTTGCATTCTGTTTCACATGCAGAATAATGATGGCTCACAGAAGATCTCTGGGGATGCTCTCAAAGATCTTTACAAGTCCTTTGCATCAGAGTATCCCATTGTTTCAATTGAGGATCCTTTTGATCAAGATGACTGGGAGCACTACGCCAAGCTAACTGCTGAGGTCGGAACCAAAGTACAAATTGTTGGTGATGATCTCTTGGTTACCAACCCGAAGGTTACTAATGACTGAACTTTTTTTTTTTTTAATTGAGTTTACTTGGGTTCGGAGGGGGTGGTCTTTGTTGCATTAGGACTTAATGACAGAGCAGAATGACTAGAAGTTCATCTCAGAAGCAGTGGCGAGATCTTAAGTATAAGGATCGTTTTGATTGACTGTCTGTATCTCTCTCTCTTTTTTTTCATCTAAAATAAACAAAACAGAGGGTTCAGAAGGCGATAGACGTAAAAGCCTGCAATGCACTTTTGCTCAAGGTAATGATCTACTTTTCATTCTTTTAGGTCCAAGTCATTGGAACCTTCTATTGGTGCATGTATTATTTACTGAGATACACATCCGGTTGACACAATCCTGAGACAGGTTAATCAAATCGGATCTGTGACTGAAAGCATCGAAGCTGTCAGGATGTCCAAGAAAGCTGGATGGGGTGTGATGGCCAGCCACAGGAGGTTTGTGCTTTTCCTTGAAATGCTAGTGACTATTGAAGTATAATTGCTTTCTGTTGCAAGCTTATAATGCGCTAGCTTTTGAGACTTTTTTTTTTATGTTCTGCCTGCAGTGGAGAGACCGAGGACACTTTTATTGCTGATCTTTCTGTTGGTTTGGCCACGGTATAATCTTATTCCATCATTCATAAAAGTTGTCCTAGTGGTTCCTGAAGGCATTGTCCCAAATTCCAGATTAACTTTGTCATGATTTGTTCTTGGCCAGGGTCAAATCAAGACCGGAGCTCCATGCAGATCAGAGCGTCTTGCTAAATACAACCAGGTTCGTGATGGTCATATGCCCTAGTTGAATATTAGTTACTCGACGGTCTCATTTAGTTGGCTAGCCTTTTTGTAAATGTTGACTTTATTTTGTCGTGGCAGCTCTTGAGAATTGAGGAGGAGCTTGGTTCTGATGCTGTCTATGCTGGAGCATCCTTCCGCGCGCCTGTTGAGCCCTACTAAGTTTTTAAGCTGAGAGATATGTAGCATTGCATGAGTTAGGAGCAGTGCCGGTATGGTTTCAGTTGTGTGATGAATAAGATTATAGTTAGAAAGAGAGTGCCACTCTTGTTTACAGGAGTTTTTTGCTAATAATTCTTGAATTTTGATTTCCGGAGCAGATACTGTATTTTGCTAATTTGCGAGTTGGTTAATGTCAAGCTTCTTGATATTTGGACTGTGTCTTTTGTTGCCTGCATTATAATCCTCTTCACCATGTACCCACCAGATGTCCGGCTAGGGACGCGACTTTGCGGCATCCGTACTCCATGTCTACGTTTTTAAATTAACGTAGCGGTGCAGAAAAATTGTGGTAAAGGACAATCCTCAAAATTTTGTAATCAAGATTTAAAAGTTTTACTTTACCAAAAGAGAAAAGATAAAAGTTTTAATAGAGCCGATCTTAGTGTTAAATATAGTTTAAATATAAGGCAGATGTGATTTTTTTTAAATTCTTTTTAACCATACCGTTCATTAATTGCAATGAGAGTGAGATATTGGTATACTCTTAATTTTTATATAACATTTTATTATGATCATTTTAATTTTAATGGGGATAAAATTTAAAATTCACGTAACCATTTCTTAATAATTGTAAAGTTGACTTTGTATATATTTAAATGGTATTGTTAATTTTTGAATAATTTATTTTTATTGGCGTTGATGTTGAATTATTATCTCTTAGAAATATGTAATTAGATTGATGTAAAATTATTTGCAAAAACCTTAAAATAATTATGTGACATTTAATGACCGATTAGAGGAAATAAATGAGAGAGAAAGTATATAATTAGATTTGGAAATCACTGTTTCTAAAGTTTCAAATTCAAATGATTGTGATATTAAAAAAATGTAAGATTTTGGTAGATAATTTTATATACTTAATATATTTTTATTCAATTAAATTAAAAAAAATAAATTTTAATATATTAATAATATTAATATTAATGATAAGGGTTTGTTTAAGAATAAATAATCTATGAAAAAAATACACTCTTGTTTTATTTGAATATATAAAATTAAATATATAAACTTTTCTCAAAAAAATCCTCAATTCAAAAATATGAAAATTAAATATCTGGTTTCGAAAGAAAAATTGAATTAATAACAATTAAATTTTTGGCAATTCTTTTTCTTGAAAATGAGTTTGAAATATCAATTTAAATAATTATAAATTGAGAATGGATTCTCTCTTGTAACTATTATGTGATGGCTAGGAAGTGGATAAATTATCATATTATTTAGAGTAAATAGGCTTAATGGTCATGAAAAATATAGTTTTCATTGATTTTTGAATATTTTAAAATATGGTTTACTTGCAAAATTAATAAGAGGTGATTTTTTTTAATCCATAGAACAAATATATTATTAAAACACTTTAGATAAACTGATTAATGAATATATCTTCTATGATTAACTAAATAATTCAAACATTTAACTAACTAAATCAAATCCTCGCATACACGCTCATCTTATCTCTTCCATTTTTACAATCGTTCCTTCCCTTTCTTGGTGGGCAGAGGAATCAAGGTATTATTCACATATTATTTTATTATCCTAACAAATGCACTCTCTTGTAAGAGATGACCTAACATGAATAGTTCAATTTTGTGTCTCTGTAAGCGAGTCTCATTGATAGGTTTCCTTGAGTGAAGATGAATGTAAACCCAAAACTTTTATTGTAGAAGGGTATTTGATTCTCTGTGATAAATTAAAATATTCATAATTTTTTATAGATTGTGTTTGATCTGTTTTGGATAAATATTTTTTTTGTTTTTGATTCACGATAGTATATCAGTGAGATACAATTGTATATCATTGATTTGTATATCACTGATTAACCATATCAATGAAAACTTATCAACACCTTTTGGAATATCTCCTTTATCTAATTACAATTAATTCCAAAAGCTAAGGTAATTAAGAGAATAACCCATATAGAGATTACCATGTTTGTAATTTGAGAAATGGAATCCTATGGTTTTCATAATTTAAAATAAGTCAAAACACATTTATTAAACCTTTAATTAAAGTAAAATCATGTTATGAAAATATGAGATATCTCAAAAGAGTGAAAGGAGTTAAAAAATCTCACAATGTTGAAAGCAGAGTAGTGGGCCACAGCTAGTCACTCTCTGTGTGACGCGTCATGACATATTGCACGCTCATGATAGAAAATTCTACTATCATTTGACAATAGAAATTGAGCAACTTTCGACATGCTCTATTTCTTTATCCAACATCCAAGTGAGATGATTTAGGTGTTTATGGAAAACTCTTTACGTAAACTAGCTAATGTTATGATTTTTACATCCAAATCAAGTTGCACTAGAAAGTTAAACATTCAAATACATTTTCACAACTTTTCTCAACTTTCACAACAAAAAAGGTGTCCCAAACCCTATATAAGTGCCAAAAGGTCATTTATAACACCCAAATCATATTCATTGAACCTAAGATTACTTGTACAACACACCACATGCATAATTACACAACTATGTCAAAATTTCACTCTTTGACCCCTTTAATACCAAAAATAAAAAGTGAAGGTTTTAGCATTGTATTTCAAAATAATATTCACCACTGCAATCAAATGAACATTCATATACTTGCATTAGTATTTTAGTCCTATCAACTTTTATAATTTATTATAAACATCTCAGGGCTCAAAATACAAATCAGACATCGCAAACAACTATATAGTGTAAATGTAAACAAAATGCATCCTAATTGATAATATTAAGTCTATTACACAAAATAAATAAATCATAGAGGCATTACACTAGAAATATACTGATTCTTAAGCCTCCCAAGCTTTTTTTCTCTCTACATTAGAGCTAGAGCTTGTAAAATTTAAAAAAGAAGGGCAAGTCTAGCCACTTTGTAATCAAGGGAAGCCTACCTTTTACAGTTGCATATTAATTGAATAAACACATGAGACTGAAATTAATTTTCTCAAAATATACACTAATACGTATATCACGGATTATCATTTCTCAATTAACTCATTATTATCTAAATCATAAGGTACATTGTCACAAGATATACAAACATGTGACAATGATGCAATATATTAACATGAATTGCCATGAACTTAATAATCGTATGACACGTCATATAATCACATGCACGATCAAACCATCCTTATTTCTTTTGACTGAAACCATGGGCTACAATACCAAACAGGGCTCCTTTCATGTAATTGGACTACCTAAGCACATTAATTGTGAAGTGTGCCCGGCCAGAGATCAATGAACTCATTCTCAGACTACGGTTTTTCCTACTCTCGAATCTCTAGGGTATCACATATCTAAGCTAATCTTCTTGATAAACTAGTGAAGATAACTAGGCTTTAATCTCTCAACAAACTGTAGGATATGACTATATCCTTTGTACTGAAAGGCAGTCGAAAATACCATATGAGTTTTTATCTACTCCTCTTTTTAGGCAACCCACCCACTGATCATGCTATGTACGATGCTTACTCATTTTCACAATTTCATTTATTATTATCACATTAGGCTCACAATAATACGCTATCCAAGTGAGCATTTATATTATTTTCACAAGTGTACTTCACTTTACTCTATCATCAAATTTTCCATCTTTACAAAAATCATCACATCAAATAACATGACAATTCCCATCCCACAACATGAATGTTTTCTTAGTTTTAACAAAATCACTTTCACTTCAATTGCAAATTTCAAGTCAAAATTAGCCAATCATCAAGGCTCATGATATGCTTTCACATTCAAAGTCAAATCATATATGCCAACATACATATTTCACAATTTACAATCAATTAACAACAACTAATTAAAGTAGGATTTTCAAGGTTACCTCAAATTTTTGAGAAGTTAAAGGTTTACCGTTCAATAACTAGCTTTCAAGCTTTATTTTTTAAGCCAAAATAGTGTCCAAATGCTCAATCTATAATTAATCAATTCTAAATTTCGTCAACAATGTTAAACACACATTTTCAACTTTCATTTTTCGCTTCTAAAATTTTCAATGCCTATATTTCTCACATTTAGACTTATCCATTGGGTTTGTTAACTATCTTTAACTCCCAATATTATTAATAAGCCATTAAAATTTCATTAATGGCATTACAAATCTTTCGACAACCCTTATTAAGGCCATTTTTGCATATTTATGGTATTTACCAATGAACAACCTTTAAAACTATTAATACTTAATTTAAATACTATAAACAACTCTCTTTAATAATTTAAATACTCTAAATAATTCTCTTTAATTCTATTTGAGTCAATAAGTTCAAACCCATAATTTATATGGACTAAAAATCATCATCTTAACTCAAATCTTAATTCTAATCTCCATTAAAAATGAAAGAGAGAGGGAGGAAATGAAGTATAGGATACTTACCTTGGTGATTACTAGCTCCAAAATGCTCCAAATACCTTTTACATGTGAACCCTAGAGCTTCTTGCTTGCCCTTCATTTTCTCTCTTTTCTCTTCTCTCATTTTTAGTCCGTTTGTAATCAATTTATCAGAGATTTTAGCTATGCGGAACGGCCCATGTAGCCCACACAGTATGTGCCACGGCGCATGGCACAGAGGAGCCCTTCTCCTTCTAATTGTCATCTGTGTGCCACATTGGACGTGCTGTGCATCACAACATGTGGCGAAAAGACACTTTCTTCATGCTTTCTTCTTCTTTCAATGCATAGATGGCCCCAACTTCACTTTTGACCCATAACTAGGGTTGAAAACACAATTGAATATAACTATTAGACTTTTTCAACCACACACCACACCAAAATACTTAATTACTATAATTAAACTCAATTAATTCCTTAGTAATTTAAGGATTAAAATTTGGGATGTTACACTTTTAATTTTATAGATATGGAGATGCTTAATTTCATCATTTCTTTCTCTGTTTTTTTTTTGAAAGAGGGTCAAATAAAGCTTTATTCTATCTTCAAATATTTGAAAGAAGATTTTCATCTAAAAAGAAAAAATATTTGAAAGAAGGTCATATTTATTGAAAAGAAGGTAGTTTTGTCATATAAAGGTCAACTAACTATTAAAATGGCTATAATGTAAAACATAATAAATGTTAGGTTGTTTATTAGGTTTGGTTTTATAAAACGAGTTATATATATAAAAACCTCTTATTTATCTAATGATTAGGAGGAGAGTAGTGTGTAGTTTACTTCCTATTTATCCAATGATTAGGAGGAGAGTAGCATGTAATTTACTTGCAACTCATTGTTTTTTTTTTAAAAAACTGTTGATAAACTAATTGTTGTTAATTTAATTTTTAAGGATTCAACTGTCATTCTCTCTATATTCAACTTTTAAGGTTTATCATTTTCATAAATTGAATTTCCCACTTATAATTTTTTAGAAATCAAATAAAATATAAAATTATTTCACATTCTCAAACAAGATCCTTTGTACTTCTTAAAACATGATCTAAAATTATTTCACACTTCTCTTATTCTTTTTTTCATGTTTTCATATTTCCTTCGCTTCTCACTCTCTTAATTTTCTCTCAAAATAAAAAAATGAATTTATTTTATATCAAAATTTCTTTTTATTATATAATTCAGTGTAGAGAAGAAAATATATAAAAAAAATAATTAGATATGTATAAACTACTTGTAAATTTAATTATATGTTACTCAAAATCTATACATACTGGTCATTTAAAAGAAAGAAAGAATAATTGAGAGCATGAAATGATAATACACATTGGGTCAATTGACGATATATACACTAATAGGGTAATTTGAAATTTAGAATTCTAAATATATAATAAAAAATTAAAAATCAATTTTGAGAGGAAAATGTCTCTTGATGAGGCTTCCTTATACTACTATCAAGGTAGAAAGGTAGAGGCAAATGCACGAGAATAGACTCATGCCATTGCAATAAAAATCACGATTATATTTCAATAAAATAAATTATAATTATAAATTATTTAGAATAAAAAAAGCTAAATAAGATAGTTGAATTATAGTTTTGCAACTAGAGGCAAGTATGAAAGTAAACCTGGTAATAGAATAAACTAAATTCAAGATATATGTATGAGAAAAATTATATAAAAAATCAGGAATGACATTAACTCTTGAGTTTTAATCATCTTAGCAATTGTGTCTCTTCTTTGCAGTGCTTGAGAATTAGCAATTGTGCAAGTGGAGAAAGAGACATGATCTTCACTGATCAGGTTCTAACGGCAGGAATGCCTCATTGCCAGTTCACTGTGGCCAAAAGCACGTTCAAATTTGGAAAGAAGCCGACTATAAGCTTCCCATTCCCACATCCTAACAAGGATGAACAAATAAAATACAAAATAAAAAATGCAGGCTGTGGGGTTCGAACCCACGCGCACTTATGTGCAGAAGATCTTAAGTCTTCCCCCTTAACCTCTCGGGCAAACCTGCTCACGCCGGAGAGTTTCCACACTTTATTAAATTAAATAGAAGACCATACATTCATACTAAAAGCATGCCTCTCATATCCACAAGCATACCTTAGCTTTCAAAAATTGCTTTCTATTTTTAAAAATAAAAAATTATTCGATTAAATGTTTCAAACTTAATTATTTTAATTTTATTTTTTAAAAATAAAAATATCTTAAAATTATTTTCATTTTTTTACAAAATATATTACATTTGATTATTAAAAAAATATAGCAAGCTTGATCAATTTTTTTTATAAAAACTATCATTAATCACTTGCAACTTTTTATATTAGCCTATTTTTTAATTTTAATATTATTTTTAAATTAATATGATCAAACAGATTTTCATTTTACTTTGTTAAAAATTTATTAATATTAAATAGAAGACCATACATCCTAAAAACCATACCTCTCATATCCACAAGCATACCTTAGTTTTCAAAACTGTTTTCTATTTTTAAAAATAAAAAATTATTTGATTAAATGTTTCAAACTTAATTATTTTAATTTTTTTATTTTTAAAAATAAAAACATCTTAAAATTATTTTCATTTTTTCCAAAATACATCACATTTGATTATCAAAAAAATATAGCAAGCTTGATAAATTTTTTCATAAAAACTATCATTAATCACTTGCAACTTTTATATTGGCCTATTTTTTTAATTTTAATATTATTTTTAAATTAATATGATCAAACCGATTTTCATTTTACTTTGTTAAAAAAATTCTAGAAATTTTATTACAATTTTTTTTCAAAAATAAAAAATAAGAACAAATATCAAATGCATCCTGAAGTTTTCAGAGAACCATAAAATCTTGTAGGGATGTTTCAGAAACCGTGTATTTATTTTTTTAAGAAATTATGATTATAACTGGACATTTTTCAAATATATTTTATAATTTTTATTGACTTTTTGAAAATAATCAGAATTTTTTAAAAAATAAATTTAAATTAATTGGAGAAGATATTTTGAATAATTCCTAAAAAAGTTGATAAAGTAGATGTGAGAGTATACCAGAAATTTGCCTAAACATTATTATAAAAATTTAAAATAATTAAATAATATTTTTTTATAAATAGAAATCCATGAAAATATCAAAAAATTTTAAAATAATTAAATAATACTCTTTCTATTTAAAAATGTAAAACATTTTTTAAAGAGTTTGATATTTAAAAATATAAAATATTCTTAGTTTTTTGAAGTGCAATCACTGTCTTTTTTTTTAAAGTGTTCATATTGATAATGACATTATATTTATTATACGGTGTTTGATAAAAATAAATATAAAAAGATAAGATTAGTTTGAAAGTAGTTAACTATTTTATTAGAGGGTAAAATTAGGTTAAAAATGCCTTATATTTTTTAATTGAGAGAGTAATAATTTTTTATTATTATAACTAAACATAAAATAATATATATATTTTAAAAATGATGCACTTTCATAAAGTCTCTAAATTTTCTAAGAATAATTTATTTTTTAATATTAAACAACCCAATACTAAAAGGATGAGCGCGCATTTGAGATTTTTATCTGTTTATTTCACACATCTTATTAATTATAGACAATAAACATAAAAATAATATTTATATTTAATATATTTTTATACAATTGAATTAAATTAAAATAAGTAAATTTTAACGCTGTAGATTTGTAATAATATGAATGAAAGGCAATAACGTCCTTTCAAGTTTGTCAAAGTTACAAAGACTTTCTTGTTGTTTTTAAATTTTGCATTTTAGTTCAATTTTTAATCCAATTAAAAATATTTTATTTCAGATTCTAAAATATTTTATTATATTAATAAAATTTTTTTGAAAATATTAAAATGATTAATTTGCCTTCCTAATCTAATATCTTCTCTCTCCTCATATTTTAAAAAGAATATCATGATTATATTTGTATAGTAAACATTTTAAAAGTATTAACATTAATAAATATAAATTATATTAAAAATAATTATTAAAAATAATAAAATCAACATAAATTATATTAATCAATTTATGCATTATATTAAATTTAAATTACTTTTTATGATAAATTTTGTAATTCTTTGAATTTTCATTCATGCACATTTGAAATATTAATTTTTGCTAATTTATATATTTACAATTTAAAAATTACAATATAAATAGGTTTATTTATATGCATTTATTTTTTTAAAATTATATATTATAATTATTGTTTGAAAACTTAAATGGCTCTTCAACAACATGATAATAGAGAGTGGTATTTTTGTCCAAAATATATGATCTAACTATTAATTAACTTGGATGGATGAAAATACAATCTAAGAAAAATAATAATAAAATCCTACCAAAATATATAAATAATAATTAGGTGTTTCGAGTATTATAATTATTTTGAAGTTTCTAGGTACATTTCTTATATTAACAATTTTAGGTTAAATGATTTAAATTTTATTAAATTTATTTATTAAAAAAATAATAATGAATTTACATGAAAAGTTGTGATTTTTTATTTAATTTTTATAATTCACAAAATAAAATTTATACTTGTTTAAATAAAAGTTATAATTAATTATTTTTAAAATTTAGACTTTAATAATAAAAGAAATTTCATGTAAAAAGTTATGATTTTTTTATTCAATTTTTTTATTTAAAAAATAAAATTATGATTGCTTAAATAAAAATTGTTATTAATTATTTTCATAACTTGAATTTCAATAATAAAAAAAATTTCACATTGAAAATTGTAATTTTTTATTTAATTTTTTATTCTCATAATCAAGTTGTGGTGGTTTAAAAAAAAATTGTGATTGGGATTGATTATTTTTAAAATTTATTTATCAATTATAAAAGAAATTTTACATAAAAATTGTGATTTTTATTTAATTTTTACAATTCATAAAACAAGAGTTAAGATTGGTCAAACAAAAATTGTAATTGAAAAAATAAAAATAATTTATTATTTTATTTCAAACAATAGACAATTTAATCATTTAACTTAAAATTATTTATGTCATAAAGATACATAAAAACTTAAAAAAAAGTATGGTATTTCCATAGACATAATTATTCATTTAAATATTTCAGTGAAGTTTTCTTTTCTTTTTTTCTGTAATCTATATAATAGAAGGGAGTTATGTGCTATGTAAATTTTAATTTTAAAAAAGGTTTGTACAGGTTTTAAAGATAAAAAACAGACTTGTGTAATTAAGATAAAGTAGAGGGAAGAATAGTGATTTTATTCTAATAATATTAATAAAAAGAGCTTGCTATCTACTAAATAATATTTTTAAAAATTTATATGTTATTTTTTTTGAGCAAAAAAAATTTATATGTTATTATTTAGATGGAACTGAGCATGTTATATAAATAAGATTAAGCATACGAGTTTTTTTTTAAAGATAATCTAACGATTATATATTTTTGCAGTTCTATTTGTATATATCATATTAAATTAAAAATTTATTTTTATTTATATATATAAGATTAAATTTACGAGTTCATTTGATGATTATATATGTTTCGATCAACTACATTTGATGCTGGTAAAAAAAAAGATCAATTATATTTGATGATTATATGGAAAATAGAATATAGATATAGATAAAAGAAATAGACATGTAGAAATTGCTCATGACTTAATTACGAATTAATATTTTGCTGGCAAAAAAAAAATTACAAATTAATATTAATTAATCATATAGCCAAAGACGAGATAATTTCATAAACCCCATTTCTTCCTTCCTCATTCTCTCACTTACCCTCCGTTGAAGAAGGGATCTCTGTACTTGTTGAAACCAAACCCTAGCCAAAACAACACAGATTGTGAGACTCGGGCGAGCCACGCGAAGAAGGTGAATCTGTTATTTGCATTCGGCGATGGCGGAGCATTTGGCATCGATTTTCGGAACGGAAAAGGACAGGGTGAACTGCCCCTTCTACTTCAAGATCGGAGCTTGCAGGCATGGTGACCGCTGCTCCAGACTCCACACCAAGCCCACCATTAGCCCTACTCTTCTTCTCTCCAATATGTACCAGAGGCCTGATATGATCACCCCTGTCGTTGACCCCAACCAAGGACAAGCACTTGACCCCGACAAGGTTCAGGATCACTTCGAGGTTCGAATTTCGTTTTGCTTTGTATTTGGATGATGATTTTGCCTTTTTGTTGATATTGACTCTTCGCACTTTCTCTTATTACTGTTAGCATCTGAAATCGGCAATTCTGGCCCTAATAAATAACATTTTTAAGTTCGAAAAATGTCGGTGCGTGAGTGCAGGATTTCTATGAAGATCTATTTGAGGAGTTGAGCAAGTATGGTGAAATTCAGAGCTTGAATATTTGCGATAATTTGGCCGATCACATGGTATACCTTTTCCTCTTAATTTTTTCAGCTTGTTTCTTCTCCTATTTCTCTCTTTATGGTTGTTTATGTAATACTGTTAATTTCGTTGGTCAGGTTGGCAACGTATATGTTCAGTTTAAAGAGGAGGACCATGCTGCTAATGCACTGATGAATCTGTCTGGTAGATTTTATTCAGGTTAATTTCCATCTTCATTCCTTTTCGCTTTTCATTGTTTTATAACATGTTAGCTTTCTCCTGCTAGTCCTTATGGTTGATTTCATTTCCGATTGAAATTGCTTTATCATGGACATAATATCACAAGAGTTGATCCAAGTGGCATGTGTTGCTAGTAGTAATGCATTTGATTGGGAATGTGCTATTGCATATGATTGATACTTCCCTAAAATTATCATTTGTTTGTTTAGTTTAGTGATCTTAGGAGTTAACTCTGATTAGGGTACATATTACAACAAGACATATCTTACTAGGTGTAGTTTGCTATATTGATTGCAAGACACCACTGTGTTTTATCAGCAATCAATTTTTTGGATGTTTTTTTAGCCAAAAGATCTTGTTCAATAACTTTATTGAGTGTTGTCTTTGTTTTGCCTCTATCTCTCTTCGCATGACTCCAAAGTTCATCCTCATCGTTGTCTCTAATGGTCTTTTTTGTATATGACCAAACTATTTTAAATGATTTTCTATCATTTTCTCTTCAACAGATGCCGCACCAACTCTTTCATATATGATTGTTATGAGTCTTATCGTTTCTTGTACGCCGACACAACCGTCACAATATCATCATCTCTGCCATCCCAATCTTATGTCCTTGTTATTCATTTGAAACCTAACATTCGCTATTATATAACATATCTGATTTTATAGCAGTTTGATAAAACTTCCTTTTAAGCTTATTAGATTTGTATTAAAGGAACCATTTTTTGTATGGGTTTCAGGCACTACCTATTTTCCCCTAGAAATATAATTTAGCTCTTTGTATCATTTGTGACCTAACATGACTGGGAGTTGGTCTTAATGGTCGGACTTTTGACTGGTTTGAGTCATTGTATGGGTGAGGCTCAAGAATCAGGAAGAAAGTAAAGGTAATGTTCACGGTAGATTTTATCTGGACGTGGCCAAATCTGATGAACTGACCATGCTATTCTTGTGGGACTAATTTTCTGTGGGAAGGGTTTTTGTGCTCTAGGTTTCCCATTATATTTGTCTCCTTTTGTCTTGACAGCTATTAGCATATCTTGTTCACCGTTATTGCAAGTTAGATAGGTGGGGATCAGTGCAGCATCTAGTCTAGTGTCTTGAGAATTATATCAATCATTGTGGGTATGCGTTCAAGTTTCAACTTTCCTATGCTTTGTATTGATCATATATGTATGTGAGTATCCTTTCAACTTCTCCATGCCACGCCTTGGGTTTTTATCTATCCCTTTGTCTGTCTCAGTATTCTGCTTAATCCCCTATTATATATATATATATATATATTTTAATATTCTTGCTTGCACCTGATATTCATGACTAACAGGGATGCATTATTACTATGGTTAACAAGTCTGGTTAGTTTGCTTGCTCTCCCCTGCATCTATCTCTTGCAGTATTCCCTGTAGAAAGAAGGCATGGTTAATGCCATGTTAGAATTGTTCCTAGCAATGGAAATTGGAATGGTGTTTTTGTTAGAAGTGTTATATTGTTAATACTTGCAGTTTCTCCAACATGTGGTGATTGTCACTGGCAGGACATAAGCATGTGTAGATTATTATTGCCACGCTTAAATGGCCTTTTTTAAATCATAAAATGAAACACCGAGTGTTATGTGTGTTATGATTGAGGCATCTATTTACCACTTCAAACTGTTGCTACATTATTACTACAAAACTTCCAATTCTTAATGACACCACCAGGGCGACCCATCATTGTTGACTTCTCTCCTGTGACGGATTTTCGAGAAGCTACTTGTAGGCAGTATGAGGAAAATGTTTGCAATCGCGGTGGCTATTGCAATTTCATGCACCTGAAGAAGATTAGCAGGTTGCCCTTTCAGCATAGTGCGCTTCACTTTCCAAACATTTGTGGAACTGGCAAGTTAGTTTTGATTGTCTCTTTACACCCTGCTTTTTTTTTTATTTTAGGGAGTTGAGAAGGCGATTATTTGGGAGAAACAGGCGATGGCAAGGTCGTGGGGGAAGTAGAAGCAGGAGCCCTCCCAAGCATCGTAACCATGATGACCGTATGCATTCTGGACGCGGTTCTGGTAGAAGAGATTACGACAGACATCATGGCCACCATGGCAGGAGCAGGTTGCCTAGGAGCCGTAGTCCTCGGAGAAGAACAAATCGAAGTAGAAGTCCTGTGGGAAGAGAGAGGAGTCCTGTTAGAGAAAGTAGTGCGGAAAGGAGAGCTAAAATAGAGCAATGGAACAGGGAGAAGGAACTGGAAGAATCTGGCAACAAGGATAACAGAAATGGTAATGATAATGAACAGGGTGTTGCGCAGAATGGAGGCGAATTTGATGATCATCGAGTATAGTGGCAGCACCGTCACTGAGGCCAGAGAGATTATGACCCTGTAGTCAGTGTGGAGAGGAATCTGGTCTTGTACTGTTTGCACGTCCAGTAAGCTTAGTTTTTCATGAGTGTCCTAATTTGAATTGTTCAGATTTTTAGTTATAATAGTTTGTAATATCTATATTTTTGCAAGTCGTGTTCGCACCTAGAAGGAATAGATAAAGTTCATTTTCCGTATTTTTTCAAATCCCAACGTCATGTTTGGAATTTATGTCTAATTTTTCAGGAAAATGGATAAAGGCAGGGGAAGGATGGTTTCATTAAGGGTGAGCAAAATTAAACCTGAATTAAAAATCAAATTAATTTTTTATTATTTGATTTAGTCTATTTAGTTTCACAGTTTGATTTTGTTTTGTTTTTTTTTTATTTTTAAAAATATATTTCGGTTGATTTGTTTAATTTAATTAATAAAATTTAAAATTGAATAGATCAAATTAATTAAATTATCATATATATATGATTTATGAATTTATAGATTATATTTAGTTTATTAATTATTTTATTAATTTTACTTTTTTAATTTTATATTTAAATAAAAATAAATGTATTTTTTGATAAGTTGAAACTCCGACCCTCCATTAAAATAAATTATTATCACTTTATAAGTTTAATTTTATATATATGCTTAGTAGAAAAAATAACAAAATTGGTTTAAATTCAAATAACTCAATATGAAACTCAAAATTAAATTAATCGATTGAATGAATTATTAAATTTTGATTTAGTTTTTGTTTGGTTTGATTATTTTATTTCGTTTGATCCGATCTATATTTTTAATATTATTGGATTGATTGATTTTATACATTTTAATTCCGAATTGAACTGAGCTCAAGGAAAGGCCATATTGAGTCAAAGCTGTTTTTCATAAGCCTAACGAAATTTGAATTTTTTTTTTCCTGGTATGGGTGGTATAAATTGATTATTTAAAAAAATGTTTTAATAACCGAACGTACAAATGAAGGGGATACTATAGTACTGTTTGATTGAAGGGTCAAACTTGAGGATCAGGAGTCTCTCCTTTTCTTTTTCCTCCCTTTCCCTCCACTTCTTCCATCTACACCATTCAAATTTTTTTATTAAATAATTTTTTAAATAAAAAAATTAATGAATGATGGTGATGGGAGAAGTGAAGGGAAATGGAGGAAAAAGGAAGTGGAGGACCCCACTTCCCAAACTTGATGGGCCCGTAACAACCTAGCCAGTGACGTGGTTTTGGAAGCCTGGCAGAGAGTGGAGAATGTGTCGGAAGTCCATTTGGCCTTTTGTGTTGCCTAAGAAAGATGAACTGCTTTTTATTGATGCTTATCTAAATTCCTGAACTGCCAAATTAAATTGCATTGTCAAGAGCACCTCCTTAAAAATGTACATATAAAATGGAATTGATTCAGCTGACTTGGCCCAAAAAGAGATGAAATTGCTAGCTAGGAGGACTAGGATTCCCTCGGACTGAGGGAATCTTCCGACGGGAGGCAACTGAAATCTGGATGGCAAATTGAAAACTTTTAATTATTTTATTTTATATTTTTAAGTTAATGTATAAACATATCCTCAATGTTTTCACCCAGGGCACTTCATATCTTAAAATATTTTTTTATGCATGTTTACTCCAATATTTTTTATTTAATTACAATGTCGCCTTCTTGTTATCTCTTGACTTTGACTGTGTTGACCGTCATTTGCTTAATTGGCTTGCCACATTAGCAAGCCATGTCTAAGATTTTTTTTCCCCCATTGCCACATGTTCAGTTTGCTTCTTTGAACGTTTTCTCCCAAAAAAAAAAATTTCTCTTCCTCGTCCCAAAATCACCACTGAATCAGCTGCTCTTCCTCATCCCTAAATCACCCCCTCACCCTCACTTTTGGCTTGCTGCATAATCACGCACTGAGACCTCCGCTCGACAGTTGCTCTCCCAACATTAGATCACAGGGACAGAAATGGTCTGTGAACAGTGTTCAACAACTTTTAGGCGAAGGGGAAGAGGAGCCGAAGTATTGGCGCTTTCCAAAGCTGGGTTGGGTTTGATTGGTACAGGGACGGGGACAGGGGGCTTGATTCAATTGGTCAAAAGCTGGGTTGGGTTCGAGGGGTTCGATTATAGGTTCTATGATTTCTTGGTTCAATTCTAGGTTCTGGGTTCTTTGAAATAATTAGATCTGGAACAGAAATTCACCTAGATTTGGAAACAATAAAATCTGCTCGTCTCTCATTCGATTCTGAGTTTTTGGGTTTGATCAAAGGTTTCTAGCTTGTTCTTCAGCCCAAGTGAGCGACCTTATTGGGGATCTAGGTTTCTAAGTTTGATCGAAGGTTTCTGGGTCCTTTGATATTTCTTCTTCAGCAACAGTTAGATCTAATTTTGGGTTCGAAGGTTTAGGTTTGAAGATTGATTTTCGATACTTCATCTTCTTTGCCTATTTGTTAAAAAAAATTTATTTCAATTTGTTTATTTTGTTGTAAAATGTGGAGCTTGCTGGAATAATGTCGATTGTGTGGTAGTGGATTTGGGATTTTTGTGTAAATGCTATTATGGTAGATATGGGATTTTTGTGTAAATGCGGTTATGGTGAATTTGGAATTTTTATGTAAATGCTGGAATGTCAATTTTTAGATTTGATTTGTTCATCTATGTTTTGGTGGATCTTACTTTTTGGTGCTTGATTTCCCTTCTCGTTGCCTATCGAACTTGTGGCTTACTCGTTGCAGGAACAAGAAGCAAAACGGTTGAAGAGGAAGAAGAAAGCTTGATTTCTTTCAAATATGAGTTGGATTTTTTCTTTTCTTTTTTAAATTTTTAATTGTTAAAATAAGCCATGTGGCTGCCAATATGACAAATCAAGATAAGCTAACAGTCAACGTAGCCAAATCTTAAAGGGTGGGCAAGATTGTACCTAAATAAAAACATTAGGGTGAAATTACGTTAAAAAATATTTTAGAATATGAGATGGAAGGTGAAAACATTAAGAGCAAATTTGTATCTTGACCTTATTTTTCTATTAAAATAACTAGTAAAGTACCCGTGCGATACACGGGCTATATATAATAATTTTTTTAATAAGTGACATATTTATTATTTACGACGAACTAAAGTTTTTATAAATAAATGTCAATCTTGTAGGAAGATTTTTCTTAAAAGAATAACTTATAGTATATCATCTTTAATACTTCATATCATCATAAATATAGTGGGGCTATATATATCATTTTTAATGTTAAATATGCATATTAGTATTAAGTCAATGTAAAAACTAAATGAATATAGTGTGAATGGATACAATAAGCATATTCATAAAAATTTATAATTAATTAGACCAAATTATCGAAAACTTCCCTATAAACAACATTAGAAGTTTTATCTGTGGATTGACCATCCTCATTAAGAACCAATATTTTTAAATCTTCCTTACTTTGAACACGAGAAACAGCAACATATAACTGGTTGTGCATGAAAACAGGACGAGGCAAGTACAAACCGACATTACACAGGCTCTGACCTTGGCTTTTATTAATGGTCATTGCAAAAGCTAGCATAATAGAAAATTGCCTCCTTTTCAGAGTAAATGGAAACCTAGAGTCAGATGGACACATAGCAATACGAGATATGCATACTTTCATCCTTGTAGTTGACTAAGACATATCTTAGGCTTCAATAACATGTTTTCCAGTTCTTGTAACTATGAGACGTGTACCATTGCACAACACCATAGACTTATCAATGTTTCGCATCAAAATAATTAGGGCACCGACTTTTAATCTTATTTCTTGATTCGGGAGTCCTGACATCGTAATTGAATTTAGAAAATCTGTAGAGTACAAGTCATCGAGTGAATTTATGTCCCCATCATCTTTTACAATACTATCAGAACTCAAGTAGACAACTTCTTCTCCAGGGATCATGGATAACATGTACTTGTTTACTTCTTCAATCACAGCCAATGTAGGGGCTAAGATAGCCCTATCTCTAAAATATGAAGAATTATTGACATTGTTAAGAAAATTCAGGAAAGTTAAATCAACAATAGACTTTCTTGAATTTTCTAAACCATCCAATAACAAATTAGCTGGGATCTTAATATCCACGGATCCTTCATTAACTCCAGCCGCAGTCCTATCACCAATTGAGATAATCCAATCAGTGAAATTTTGAATATCACTGTTAGATGCTATAGTATTTGTTGCCATAAGTCTCATGTTTCTTGTTAATGTAAGAAGTTGACAATTATCCCATATGTATGAAGAGTTAATGGTAGCAAAAACAATCTCTTCTCTGGATCCACTTGGAATAACAGGAAGGATTTGCTTGAAGTCTCCACCAAACACGACAACTTTTCCTTCAAATGGAAGATTGGCAGCTAATAGGTTACTAAACTTTAGAATATCTTTTAAGCATTTATCAAGAGCTTCAAAACAAAACTTGTGCGCCATTGGAGCCTTATCCCATATAATTAATGACGTGTGAACTAATAATTCAGCTAAGTTACTTCCTTGTTTTATGCTACATATAGTGTCTTTTGTCACAGAAAGTGGAATGCAAAATTGTGAGTGAGCTGTTCGTCCTCCTGGAAGCAATAAAGAAGCTATCCCACTTGATGTTACATTGAGAACAATTTTACCTCTAGATCTTAATGAAGCAGACAGTGTCTTCTAAACATACATTTTCCCAGCACCACCATATCCGTAGAGGAAAAAAACTCCTCCTTTGTTAGATGCAATAGCACTAATGATTTTATCATAAATTGTCTTTTGCTCAAGTGTTAGTGTCTACAGCAACTTTGCCAATTCAGTAGACAACGCAACCCTATCATAATTTAGTTCGTTTCTTATTAGCCTGTTCTTACTTACATCCAAGCTTGACATGTCAGGTAAAGACATAGGCTCATAATTTGTGAAACTTTTTCCATTAGATTGAAGTATTTTCTCAATCTCAATCAATGTAAAGTTGCGTAAATCAGCATCATCTAATTGTAATCCTGTGAAAATATTGTTGTTACATTAGTAATATTGTTTGATAATTTATATAAACTTTATTACTACTATTATATTGTAGAAAAAAATTAAAGAATGTAAATGTAATTACTACATACCGTGGTGTCCAGTAATATTTCTTTTCCTGTACACAATATCATCTGATAAGAAAACCTATGTACTATCCCATACAACCTCTAGTCGAGAGAAAGAGTTACAAATAAGAGCAGTATAAAACAGCCTTCTTAAAAATTGTCCAGATGCCCATTGGCCTGCTTCTATAATGCCATCAATATATTCTTTATCATCGTCTAATACTCCTAGTGCATAACAGGCATCTCTAAAAGTAGGGTAGACGACTCCATCAATGGTACGTATACTCTCATATGAAGTACAGCCTTTGACGATGGTTAGCAAGGTACGCAAATAATACAATTCACCACTACCTGGAGGGGTATAGTATAATCTTCCAATTGAAAAGCCCTGCTTCCTAGGCTGCCACTCACATAAATCTTTCTTATAAACAAATTTAGTTGGGAATTCAGGATATGTTAAGCCCTTAACCTCATCATTATTCTCATCATCATTAGTATTAAACTGTGCCTCAAGCATTGTAGTCTTTCTTGTATTGCGATTAACAGCTGAATCTAATGGTTCATCGTCATCAAATATGACATTTTGTTGGTTAGGCAAGTGGAAAGTTAACCTTTCAACAGATGGTTTTTTGTAATTGATATCAAAAGCAAATATTCTCCATACAAATTCACAAGGAGACAAATATCTACAATCATAATACAATTTAATCTCATCATAGATTCTCCCACTAGTTGGGTCACACGAATCAATAAAAAATGCTGCTGTAGCCCTATCATGTCCTTTTGTCACATACTTGAAAAGATATTTAATTGACTGAGCTTGATTGCATCTTTCAATATTTATATGAGCATTATACTTTAGCAACAAATATGGATTATATGGTATTACATACCTGTTGTCCAAATCAATGCCATTTCTTGTTATTATTCTCCCATTGTCTAATCTCCTATATCGTGGGTAACCTTTTTCATCAATAACTGTGCTAGAGTTGAATGACTTAGGATAGTGTTTAGAGCATTTGCCATCAACCATATATGGTGAATTTGTATTCATCGACCCACAAGGACCATACATCATAAAAGAACTGACTGCTTTAAACAGCTTTAGATTTTCATCCTTATTTGGTATCTCTGCTGAAATCACCTTATCAACATCCTGAGATGTTGGAAACTTATCCTTGTTACACAACCAAACCAAAATATGTGCATGTGGGAGTCCACGCTTTTGAAATTCTATTGTATATATCACTAGAAAAGAAAGAGTAATTGTACTTAGAAACAATTTTTGTTATATTAAATGGAAAATAAAGATAATAAAAATTTGATATTACAATGTCAGTGAATAATAAATACATGCTTTGACCTTTCCAAAAATTTCATTCTTACGAATGTCATTTATCATCATGCCTAACTTAACCTTAAAAATACGTGCTAATATATCAGGACGATCTTCTGCTTGAAGATTTGTGAAATCTAGGAATCGAGAAATCTCAAGCTATTTTGGATTGCATGTGAAAGTTATAAACAAATCTGGATATCCCACCCACTTGAGAATCGCCATTGCATCTTGGTAATTTTGAACAGTATAGCGAACACCACCAGTAAATGATGACGGAAGGATGATTCTCTTACCCATTAAAGATGGAGCATTTTCACCCCTTAATACAGCATATGCAAGACCTTGGTACAACTTTGATCTTAATTTCTTTTGATTGTGCCTTACAAATGATAATCTTTGTGACTCAACCATTGCATACCCATCAACTAAGAATTGTTGGAACAATTTCCCACCTCGTCCAATTAACAAATGATTAATATCACGATCTTGAATCATATATGCAAATTATTCTCGCAGTGATATATAAGTAACTTTACCTCTCGGCTTTTCAACATTATGGGGAATATCCTCTCTATACCCGTCCTCACCATATGGAAATAATAAAGGATACTACATTTGTAAATAGAGGGGATGCTTTTCAGATATACGCTCCAGCAAGCCAGTCTTATGTTGTACAATTATGTCTCGACCAGCTTCGGTATAATCAATGTCACCAACAATTAATGCTGCAACTTCGTTTGATGTGGTTGGAAGGTTGTATCTCCTACCATCTGTATGATGTTTATATATTAATCGGATCTTAACCTCTTATGAATCATTTGCACCTATCATATCTCTTGCCTTCCTGTATGTTTGCACAAGAATGTTGCATGAATCTAACGTTCTCCTTAATTCCTCAACAATATTATGGCAGCATAGGTCCGTCTCATTACTTCCACTGCAAGCCATATAAAGAACTGATTAGTTAAATTTAAACATTCACATGGCTAAACCTAAAGACCATTGACAAAAATATATGATTATCAAACTCACCAAACAGCCCTCATCCTATTTGAAATCTCATTGTTTGTGTCATAAATGTAAAGTTGAGCGAATTTGGGAGGTGCCCCATCTATTAGGAGGACACTTTCAATAAGGTGAACATTTTGGCCACTCATTTTATATACGTATGGACCATGACCATCATTTATCTATCTATCTATTTTACCCCCCATTGATGTGAATGCAAACATCATGTTGTACATCCTAATATTACTGCGAAAATTTTTACTCCGACAGTCCCCATTATTAAATAGTTCATATAATGATTCAGGAGGCAACTTAGGTTGAGGTAGCTTAATCTTTCCTTGAAGACAACACATGCCAAATGACGGGCAAGATTTGTTGGCATCCTTCTTTAACCTCTTATCAGACCAGAACTTCATGTGGCAATATTGACATGTCTGAACTTGATCTCCATTATCATAGTAATCTATACATTATAAAAATAATATCATAGAGGTGGGCCAATATTGATACTTATGCTAAAACAAAAATAAAATATTTAAAATAAACTTACCTTGCTCTAACATTGAGATATATGCAGGATAATTAGTTGAAACAACATACCCATTACTTTGATTATCTACAGAAGAACTTGATTGACAACATCCTGTGCATCCAACATAGCCAAATTAACAACTAAAACCATTTTGAAGAAAAGAATTGTAGTGCATTTCAAATATATATACTTTTTGTCCTTTTTGATCTAGCTAGTTGTTGTATTGAATGTTGAGTTGAAGGAACACCTGAGATATTTAATTTATCATTAATACAAAGAAGCATATTCAACGACGAACTTAATATGCCAACTGAAGGGTTGATTCAATATTTTATATATAAACAAAAAAATGAGTGATCACTGACCATTAGAAATATCTAATAGTGGAGAATGTATCAGCACATCCAAAGGCAAGCCTTGACGGTCATAGTTATTTTCCCCTGTACTTAAATATGCTGCTCCTAAGGAATTATAAGGAATAATCAATCTAGACTTTCAAGATGAACATACACATTACTACTAAAAAAATTTCAAATCTAAATGCATGCCATACTCTTCCTACTAATAATATATATACGGTGACGCCGTGCGTTAAGTTGGGCTATGCTATTGCCTGTTTGCAACAATTGCGGATCATTTTCACTATCATTCGAACTCCTATGCCCTGAGAAATGCATAATCACACTTACTCTATAAGTTAAAGTTGCAAGTTAATACTTTACATACAATGACTACATTTAAAAGGGTCACATGTACTTTTTTCCTTGAGAATTTGTTTACGATGATGTCGTGCATGAACCTGGGCTTCATTATTTCCTTGATGTAATAAATTTACACCTTAAATAATCAGATAAATATTGAATGAGAATAATAAACATGTTTCATGAAAATTAGTGATCAAATATGTGTTAGTATAAAAAGAGATGATACTAAGAAATATATCACAAACCATTCGAGATATCTAACAATGGAGAACAAAGCACCGTATCACTTCTCAAGCCTTGATGGTCAAAGTTATCTTCACCAGCATTTAATTGGTTATGTCCTAAGATATTATAATGGATAATCAATATATAACTACAAGTAGAAGGTATATTATACCACCAAGAAAGTATAATTACAAAAATATTACATACTTCTTTTATTAACAATATCCAGGCGATGGTGTCATGCTTGGAGTTGGGCTAAGCCACTGTCTATGTGCATTGAAATTGGACCTTAAAAAGAAAAACAACTAATTAATAAGTATGAGCATAGTTGTCAAAAATGCGACTCAACTCATTAAGTTGATTGAGTTAATATCTGTATCTTAGGAAAATGAGTCAACTCATATGTAAACTTGCTTTTATACAAACTGGAGTGAAATCATTTATCACTCGTATAAAAATAGTAGAAATTAATGCATGTTAACACCATACAAAAGCCATTCATATGTTGAATTATTTTGAGGTAAAATCAATCAAGTGTCACACATTCGGATGCTAGAACCTATGCTATCTATGCTATTGCCCAAATCTTTTAAAGTTATATCTATATATATTTAATACATTTATTTATTATAAAAAATATAAATTTTTTGTTTCCATTGAAAAAAATTAATTTTCAAAGGTTATCCAGAATTAATTTATAAGATAACATAATTTGAACTATATAATTCTACATTAAAGTTATCTAAAATTTAATTTATATTTATTATTAGTCCACTTGACTCATTTTTATCAATAAATTATATAATTAATTATGTTGGAGGTCATAAAGTAAGTTAGCAAGTAATATATTTTATGAATTTCCATAAAATAAGTTATTTTTTATGAATTTATGAATTTTATCTTCACAATTCATGACTAACTATTTTCATACTTCACAAAAAAGTATATTTTAGGAATTTATATGGTAAGGTCATATAACTGACTATGTTGGAGGTCAAAAAATAAGCTTATTTTTCATAAAAAAATTTAAAAAATATAAAATATATTTATGTATGGTCTCTACGACGAATAACGTATCAAAGTTCATTTCACCACCACAGCACCAACCCTAGAATTATTAATATATGAATTTAACATAATGATACCCAAACAATTAAATAATATATGGAACAACTGGTTGCAGAATCCAAAATATATAAATATGGGAGGAATTAATATATGAATTTAACATCATGATACTGAAACAATTAAATAGATTAATATATATATCTTATCATATTTATAATTTTTAAAATTCATGAGAAAAGATTTAAATAGTAAAATATAAACAGATATATATTAAAGTAAATTTTAATCCTACTATACATACATATGTATGTATGTATGTATGTACGTATGCATGCATGCATGCATACTCATTTTTGCCATAATAGTTGGGAATATATCATATCAAATTTCATATATTAATTTTTATTATATTTATAATTTTTGAAATTCATGGGGATAGATTTAAATAGTAAAGCACATATTCTTTTTTAAAATATTTAAATAGATATGTATTAATTTAAATTTGAGTCCCAATATATATTTGAATATAAATATCCTAAAAATTATGAACCTAGAATTTCACCATATATTTAGGTTGGATAGAGTGTTTAAATAAATAGATATTAATTTAAATACATATATAATTAGATTTGAATTTCAGATTGGTAAAAATAGATTTTAAACACATGTTATTTTTTCTAAATATTTAAACACATATATATTGATCTAAAATTTAATACATATATACATATACATGTGTGCTAAAGTCTTTCACGGTGACCTGATATGAATATACATATTATAGATATTATATGTATATATATTATTTAGATATAATATATATTATATAATATAATATATTTAGATATATATTAAACTAAATATACATGTCTCGAAGCTCCTTCACGGCAACCTTATCTGTTGTTATGCGTCTATGTATCCATATATATACATGTGTGCTAAAGTACGAAGTAGACCTAGATTCAACTCACAGCTAGATTCAACTCGCATCATTCAACACATATACGTGCACAAGAGAACATAGATTATGATGAATTGAATATACATGTGTGTGTGCGTACTTGATGTTGCAGAGAGAGAGAGAGAACAAAAGAAAGGGTCTGTGTGTATTAGGGTTTCAAGAAAAGAAGAGAGAAATGTACGAGAAGGAAGAAAGGGATGGTTCTGTGGGTTTAAGCTAGTATAATTCATACAAAACATTATAAATAATTATAATAAATTATTTTCACTTACTCTCTACACTTTATTTCTTCCAAGCCCTACCATCATTATCGCAATTCATAAAGAACTCAAACCTATCATTATCAAACCAAATTCAGCTCACCTTTTATTTGTCTATATGAATCAACTAACCTGTAGGAATTAAAATATGCATGCATATGAAGAGAGCTTAATATAAGTGTATAAACTAACATGTATGAACCTATCATGTTGCTCTCGACCAATTCTCAAAGATTGGTCTCCCAAAATCAATGAATGAACATGTACCTAGGAGGCTCTATTTATAATTAGCAGCAGTGTTGATGTTAGAGGGAATTTTGAATTTAAATTTTCAATCAAATAAAATTTAAATGAAATTAAAACCCAAACAAAATAACTTATTATCAGCTGAAGCAAGGATGATTATTAATATTAATATATAAAATTGAAATTAAAATTCAAGCAATCAATTTATAATCTCTATATAATTTAAATTTAAATTTGAATTTGAATATATTTTATAATAGTTTTCTTGTAAATAAGTATATTTTTCATTATCTACTATCTAATTATATAATGATATGATCAAAAATATATTTTAGTTTAGATTATATACTTCAAAAAATATATTATTACGAAAAAAATAATAGAAGAAAAACATATCAAGAGCTAATAGGTCATTTTTAAAATTTGGTCATCTTAATTTTTTTTCCACACCTTAATTTTCTATCAAAACATTTAATATTAAAATAATTTTTTTAACTACAGCAAAACATAGAGAAAAAAATTCAAAGAACTAAAATTGGACATTATAGCAAAAAAAAAAAAAAATAAAAGATAAACATATCTAGAGCTATTAAACCATTCTTAAAATTCATTCATTCTATTTTTTTCCACCTCAATTTTCAATTAAAATGTTTAATATTAAATATATATAAAAATGATTATTTGAATTTTAAATAAATAAACCCAAAATCTTTAATTCTAACCGACATATTTATACTTTATTATAAGATAGATATTAATTTTTCTAAACAAATGTTTTAAATTAAGGAATTTTATTTAACAGGAATAGTTAACTGAATATATAATATGCTCATCTTCAATACTTTTTTAATTCTATTTCTTTTTAACATATTTGTAATTGAAACAGATAGATCTAGCTAAATAAAAATAAATGCCAATCAGATTTTAAAGAAGATTTCAAAAATTATATGCATATTTGGATCTTAATTTTTAGGAAATTATTAGGATAGATAACAAATTTAAAATCAGCTTATTTTTTCTATATATATATATATATATATTAATTTGAATTCAAATAGATAGATAGATACTTTATTATATCAAGCTAAAATTTAGGAAAACATTAGAATTGATTGAAATGCACAAATTAATCAAGGTATATTGGGAGTTTTAAATACAGATTAATTTTTCTAAATTTTTATTAGAAAGATCAATATTAATTTGACTTTCTAAATTAATTAGATAGACATATAAACATAACTAAATATTGATTTCAATGTCATTCCTTTGCTTACTCTATTGCGAGAAGGATTTACCATGTATGTTTGTAAAAGGCTCTTAAACAAATATAAAATAGTAAATAGGTCCCATGTGTAGAATAATAAAAAACAATTAAATTTATAAAGGATGAAATTATTGTCATCATGCCAATAGAAGGACACAACAAAAAAATATAAAGATCTCAAAGACATTGGAAAAAAATTGAAAATAATATCCTAAGTAGTTAGACTAAGAAAAAGTTTAATCAGTGCTCATAATTAATTAATATAAAAAATATTTGATCATTTCTCTATCTTTACACGCTTCACAACCGATGAAATAAGTTCATCATCACTACTATCATTATCGACAGTCATGTCACACATATTTTTTCCCTTTATTGAGGCACCAATTGGAAGGGCACGCATCTTATTCACATTCGTGGAAAAATCACCACTATTAGCATATTTCTCACTTAACTTTGGGCATGTTTTAGAGCTAATACTTTTTGAAGGAGTGCTTTCACCTGTATTACCAACTTCTGAGTCTACATGCGAAGTATCACATTCCTAATAGAATAAAATTTATATTAAAAAATTAATATTTCATGCATTTTATTTAAATTTAGAAAACAAATTTAAAAAATACTTACAGTTGTGGTTTCAGTATGACTGTCATTGTGTAGACTATTTGGAAGGTCATCTATGCCTTCCTTATATGCTCTTAATACATTTGAATCTTCACAAAGACGGGTCACTATGTAGCCAGCCGAGAAGCCTTGTTTCGCGGGGTCTCTAATGGAAACCTTGAACACAAACTCCTTCCCAATAAACTCATAAAAATAATCTGGAAGCACAAACTCATCTTCAGATTCCTACATTTATGATAATGTATTTTATGGTTGAATATCATATTTGATTTTATAAAATTTAATTATTAATATAAAATTAAAAAATAATAGAGTCATCAATATTAATTAAATTAAAATTTTCACTAATTCAATATCTATTATATGTGTATTGCTGTTGCAATTTGATATTCAATATGTGTGTGCAATATTCATATTGCTATTAAACATAAAAATGGCATTGAATACATACCTTAGGAATAGACTCTCTTAGGTGAGCAGCAGTGCAATTTACAAACTTAGAAAATACAGGATCAAACATAATGAATGTGTCAGATCCAGTACCATCAGCTGCAGTAAATGTCACCTTAAACCTACAAACATACATGTAAAATTTTAGAATATAAATGAATATCATTTGCATTGATACACAATTTTAACAAATACCTTGGTACAACAGTCTTGACTTTTCTATTGCACTCTGTGCAATAGAACCCATCACAATCAAGGAGTACTCCCTTATTACATTTCTTGCATGCATTGTAGAACCAATCTCTATCAGTATAAATATCGACAACAGTGCCAAGAGTCACAACTTCATCCTCCTACAATTATATTAGCTTGTCATATCACACTCCAACCATCATACAAAATTAATATAATATTCATAATATACTTACAATATACACAACACTTACATGTTTACAATCTGATAGTTCTTCAATCTTAACCTTATTTGGTATTACGAGCAAAGATTCACCAATAGATTGAGAATTTTGGCTAGTCAATAGCTCTATGTCTTCATCCAAGTGATTACCTGAAGCCTCAAGACTAAAAATAAAATAAGATTATATTAGTATAATTTACTTCTCAAAACCATAATCATAACCCACTGACAATAGTATAAACATGACATAACATACCAAATCAAAATTTTATAGTATGACAGACTCACCTAGAAATAAAACTGGAGACCTCTGGAATTGAAGAGTGTACAAAAACTCGCAAGCAATACATTGTGCTAGTAAGCCTCCTCATTTCTATGTAAGAATCAAAACATTTAAAGAGAATGTATATATAATTGAATCAATATTGTTCAGACATTTATGTGAGAACACGTACTATTGAACTCTCTAATCTTAAACCACTGCAATATGATAATAACTGGCTTTTTTAGTGCCTCCTCTATCAAGTTTAGTACATCATCAGCAAAGGCTCCCCATAAATTACAACTCACCTTGTTTTTCCTATAATGATAAGAATAGTATCAAATGAATGTTCATCACAGGCACCAAAAATTAAATAAGGTTTCAAGTATATTAATTGATGAAGTTTGTGTCATATTACTTTGCATCTTCTAGGCTTATTTCTATTCGTTTTTGTTTTTTCCCATCCTTAATCGGTTCCTCCAACTCTCCAATTCCAAATAATCTTCCAATCACATCTGTCATGAAAAAAAAATATGCCATTTAATCACATGTCATTAAGAAAAATAGACCATTAAAGATTAAGATAGATAAAAATAGATAATTTTAACTTGGTAATTGCCCTACTTTTATTTGATTGGCAAGTTTTTTTTCCAAAAAATGCAATAAGATTTTTAATAGATAAAAAAAGATTAAAATAGGACATTATCAAATAGCGTTTTTTGAAGAACAAATTTAGAAAATTTAAATACATACCAATCAAGTAATTACCATTCGTTGCCTCCCTATCTGCAATATCTGGAATATTAATAAAATTGAAGCCAAAACGATAGATTGAACCTGTCTCAGGACGTAACTTTATAGTAGTAGAGAACATGAAGCTAATCTTATAAGGATGATCCGTTGTTTGATATGATTCAGAGCACTGAGAGGCTCCAAATTTTGAAATTTTATATATTTTAAAGGGATGCAACCTATCTTCAAAACGTCTCACAAAAGGTTTTCAAATAATTGCAGAAATCCAATCACCCTATGATAAGTTGATTATTAAAGGAATACTTAATCATAAATCAATATGAAATATAAGAACAAATAATACAAAAGTAAAAATCATTAAGGAATTTGAATTTTACCAAACTTAATATATGAAATTAATATATTTTGAGTTCCAATATTCATGTCTTGAAACTCCTTCATGACATATTATTTTTTAAATTTCAAATATCAAAAAATCAAAATTTTTTGAGACTCACGTGCAATGCATGGGCTATATAATTAAGGGGATCTGAAAAGCAAAATGCATAAACACTTATTCCAGCATCCTGGAAGACCAATTCAACACTATTGGATTCTTCGGATGTATTTCTACCTGGTAATCTCCATATATGAATCACCCTAACCATAATGGGCCAATCTTTTTTGTTGTGTTGATAGCACGAATAGCATGGATTTCAAAAGTAGAAGCCATGGGTATTATAAATAATGGTGAAAAGAAGAATGAACTTAGTGCAATTAATTAGAAGAGTGACTCTAATGTGAAGTTGTAAAATGTGCTATTAGCCTAACCTAATTATTTATAATTGAATAAGGATGATTTGGGAGGAAAAATTAAGAGGTGATTTAAAAAAAAATCAAAATGATAGATATTAAAAATTATTTTATTCAGTATAGATATTTAAAGAATTTGAATTTTACCAAACTTAACATATGAAATTAATATATTTTGAGTTCTAAAGTGCTTCACAAAACGTGATCTATGTGTGTGTGTATTTAGATATATATTAAACTAAATATACATTAATAATTGTATTAATAATATTTAGATATATTTTTAAATTTTAAATATGTACAAATCAACATTTTTTGAGGCTCACGGAATTATGAGATTTGCCAACCACATCTATAACTAAATATATATCATTAAATTTACATATATGAGATTTGCTCACGGAATTTCAAACTTATCATTAAATTTCAAATACATTTAGTTATGGGCGTTGAGGTTAGATATAATAACTGTAAATATATTATGTCAAATTTTAGAGACTAATAAAAATAAAATTTTAATTTTTAATCTAAACATATATGTATTAATTTAAATTTGAATCTTAATATATATATCAACATACAAATACCCCAAATATTATGAACCTAAAATTTAACAATATATTTAGGTTGGATAGAGTGTTTAAATAGATAGATATTAATTTAAATACACATATAATCATATTTGAATTTTAAATGTTTAAAAATATATTTTTCAACACATAAACTTTTTCTGAATATTTAAACAGATATATATTAATATAAATTTTAATCATAATATATATATACACACACACATATATGTATGTAGTATATAGACAAGGAGTTATGGACGTTGAGGCTAGATATAATAACTGTAAATATATTATGTCAAATTTTAGATACTAATAAAAATTATATTTATAATTTTTGATATTCAAGAGGATATATTTAAATAGTAAAAAAATTTTAATTCATAATCTAAACATATCTGTATTAATTTAAATTTGAATATCAATATATATATCTGCATATAAATATTATAAATATTATGAACCTAAAATTTTACCATATATTTAAGTTGGAAAAAGCATTTAAATAAATAGATATTAATTTAAATACACATATAATCAAATTTGAATTTCAAATAGGCAACAATAAATTTTTAAACACATAATACTTTTTCTAAATATTTAAACAGATATATATTAATATAAATTTTAATAATAATAATAATATATATATGTAGTATATATACACGGAATTAAGGATAGATATAATAACTATAAATATATTATGTCAAATTTTATATATTAATAAAAATCATATTTATAATTTTTGAGATTCAAGAGGATAGATTTAAATAGTAAAAAAATTTTAATTTTTAATCTAAAAAGATATGTATTAATTTATAAAAATACTCTAAATATTATGTCAAATTTTAGTTACTAATAAAAATTATATTTATAATTTTTGATATTCAAGAGGATAGATTTAAATAGTAAAAAAATTTAATTTTTAATCTAAACAGATATGTATTAATTTATAAAAATACTCTAAATATTATGAACCTAAAATTTCATGGTATATTTAGGTTGGATAGAGTTATTAAATAGATAGATATTAATTAAAATTTAAATATAATTAAACTTGAATTTTAAATAGGTAAAAATAGATCTTTAAATACATCTAAAAATTAATAATTCATTCTACACCTAACTCCAAACCTAAATATCATATTTTATATTTTATAAAAAATAATAAAACTTTCCTAACCTAACTACAAACTTGACTCCGAAGCATAGAATCACTCAAAAGGCATCTCGAAGCATTGAAACACGGCAAACCTAAAATTGGACACATGACATTCTCTCATAGCCTTAAACCCTACTTTTATATATATAATGATTATTAAAATTTTTTTAATAAATTTTCTTGATCATCAACTAAGACAATACAAATTTTATCTATATGATTCAATATAAAAAAAATTTACAATTTTTATGAATGAACTATTCATATATATTCTAAATAATGAATATTTAATATTAAATTTTTTATAATTTAAATTTTGTAATATGAGATTTGAATCATTTATATTAAATCAAGACTGTTTAAATTGATTATTAAATTTATTAAAAAAATTATAAATTGAACATTCAAATTTATTCAAGACAATATATACTCAATGTTAATTTTTTAAAATTCTATAAATTTTTAATATTAAATTTAAACTATTAATGCTAACATGGACTATTTAGACCTGTGGTCTAATTTATTAAACTTTTTTATAATTTTATCAAATTTTTATTGTAAAAAATATTAAATTTAAATTCTAGATCTTTCTTAAATGGACTGGAGAGGGATGGAGAAGGAAGGAAAGTGGCCTAGCCAGAAATAGTCAAAAGATAATCTATTGAGCACACTTTAGAATTACTCATTTGTAGCTGAGCTGGTGGCAGAATATAGAAAATAGGGGTGTTAAAAAAATTAGACTACCATATTAATGTTAACATAAATCATTGGATCAATTTCACAGTAAAAGGTTTATCTAGTTTTAAATTATATTTCATTTTGTTCAATTTAATCTAATTTATACTAATTTTTAAGTGATCAATTGTACCTGGATTAAACACAGTTAATTAATTTAATAATTAATTTACCGGAAAAAAGAACACATAAATTATAACTACTTTTCTAAAATCATATATTTCTCTAATTTTGTTCAAATGATTATCATTTCATATACTTGTATTCTATATCATCAATATTTTATTGTGATTATTATAAAAGATCTGTTTCCCTGCTCTGAGACGCTCTCAAATCATCACTGCCATCAATTCAGCTCGTAATAAATTAGTTGACATTCAAAAATCGATTTAAACATCCTCTGCTGTTTCTCCCCTCCCCAACATTTTATATGCTGATTTTCTTTTAGGGGTAACCTGTTGACTGATTTAATGTAGTTTAATTTAATCAATGTAAACAAACTGCTTGTTTGTTCTGTAGCAATAGCACGAGTCAAACTTCATTGAAGGTGTCAACTGTTAAGTGGGAAATTGTAACCGCAAACTACCAATAAGTGGAGGGGACAGAATTAGGATAGTTCCACTTTCCTATCTGATAAACCTCAAAACCAAAGTAGATCTACCGCATGAATAAGGTCTCCCCTAACTTTGATCCACTCCAAAGGCCATGGGAAGAACTAGACGTGCAACCACCCACCTTCACTTAGGCACTGTGCTTGGCCCTATTATGAGACTGTAATCCATTTTCTGTCTTAAATAACCTGCAAACCATTGTAGTTACCTCGTCATCAGTATAAACATAGGACCCAACAGGTTAAAAGAAATGGAGGTGGAGAAGGAGACGCGGGTAACGCCAATCACCTGTTGCAAGGCTTGCAGCTGTACTCTGCAGTCGATTCGTGAGTCTCCTTCGCCTGCGCCGCGTTGGTCGGAACCACCTTCCCAGCCTGCTTAGAGGGGTAAGGAGTCGCAATGTGGACATGGCCCCCCTTTTTGCCATCTGAACCAAACATAGATGTTCGTTAATTTCTTTCCCGTTTCATGCTCTAGCTCAGACCATACATATATTGCATGTAAAAACGGATCACAAGCAGAGGTACTTGTGTATCACCCCCGTTCCATATTAGTCCAGACTCAAACGAAATTTCATCTAATTTCTCCAGCGTTGAGAAAAAGCAGCAGCAGGAGCATTTTAGACTACGGGTCTAAACGCGCACGCACACCCAAGCAAAATAATCTGTCTCCTACAATAATTAAGATGTAAAGCTTTAATGTACTTTACCAGTCTTATGTGGAGTAACTAATTTTGCCATCTTCTCTGGAACAGGTGTTTTCTTGGAAGATTTGGCAGGCCTCTTGATGCCAGCTTCGGGCTTTAGGAAAGTAGAGAGCAAGTTCGAATCAATCATGAAAGCATAGCATACATTATTAGTCTCCTTTTACCTTTTCGGGTGTCTCTTTATCCTCACTTTCATTGTCTCCCTCATCAATATCATCTCCATCTTCGCTTCCTGCCTCACCGCCATTCTCAGTGGGCTACGCATAACCCCCCCCCCCCAAAAAAAAAGGATAAAATTATTATAAATATAAAAGATAATTACATTTACTGTAACATTCACTCTAAGCTGTCTCTAACAGTTATAATGCAAAATTATCGATCTGCACAATACAAGTTGAACGCAACTTCATCCGAGTAACTTTACTGCAACAGAATATGCAGAACAATCACAACCAAGCTTGGAACAGTTAGTAAAATAAGAACGAACTGGAACGGTGTTTAATAAATTCTACAGTAGAATCTAATTGCGGAAAATATTTACAGTACAGAAGGAATCAGAACAATATAGTAAAACGATAATAATTAACAAGATATTGACCAAGTATTCAAGTTGAGATAATAAGAATGATAGAATAACCGATATATACAATTACAGGTGGAGCAGAGACTATTGTTATTCCTGTGTATTCCCTGTGAAGTTGGAATATAGCAGGTGGAATAAACTTCATCAAATCAAGTATACAAATAACTATCGTCATCCAACCGTTTGGATAAGCTAATCAATAATTAATCAAACTTAAAAAGCCACTTTTATATATAGTCAGGGGAATACCTCATCTTTACCAGAATCCTCATCCGACTCATCAAATTCGGACGAATCTTCCTCATCTTGACCGTTTCCATCCTTTCTTCTACCCCTCATCTTTCCTGTCAGGCCAGCTTCAACTGCAACAAGTCGCACAGCTTCCATCACTTTAGATTCAGGTTCTCCTGCGCAAAGTATATAACGTATAATGAACAGGAAGCAAATGACAAAAATAACTTGTTTGAGACAGTAAAACTACTCAAAAAGGCATCTCTACCATTGGCAGCTCTAATTGGAATATCATCATCTTCATAATCTGAACCAAAGACAACAGAAGAAATCAGAATGCAGATAGAAATCGTAGATGAACTAAACCGAATTTTAGTTTGTGAATAGTATCTCACCAGAACTATCAGTCACTTCCTCAGTAAAATTTAAAAAACAATATAGTTAAGGAAGTACTGCAAGTGAGAACACAACAATGCATATTTAATTATTGACAGCAAATTCGACGCCATATCTGAATAACAAATCATGTTAGGATATTCAACTAAACTTCTTGCTCTATATCCGGTAAAGAAGACACTTCCATGTTTCCAGCTGTGGGAGAGCTCAAAGTCCTTTTCAAACACCAAGTTAAGTGATATTTGAGGGAGCTTTTCACTTGAAAGAATTCCAATCCCAAGCTTTTGATCACCAACTTTCACAAATAGGCAAACTGGTTCACTCTCTTTTCCCTGCTTGATTCCCAGACATGCCTGTCACATAATAATTTATTCAGTTAAAAACAAACAAACAACATGCAACGCAAAACGTCTTGCTATTTATATGTCGTTATATGTAACCTGTGTAAGATGCAAGATCATGTCTTCTCCTGGGGTAACCTTGAGAGATTCTCCATTTTTCAACTCGAAACCTGGAAAGTCAATTGTTCTTTAAATGTCTAAATTCTTATGCATAGCCATAATTTCAGATAGTGGATAGAGACTCGAGCTAGTAACTTGATATGATAATATTTGGATTATCAACTTCCCACGTGTAATTAAATGCAGTAGTTTTTAAGTGTGTCAATAGATGAGTTGCTTTAAAGCGGTATTATCTTTCATCCAAAGATCATTGACTACCCAAATTGCTTACACCACAACAAATGTGTTTTGTTTTTCCCCCAAGAAAAAGGCACAAAAAATTGGCTCTGCGATGAATTCATTCACATCCATTACTCCAACGCTCCCGATATTTGTTGAGTACGTAACTAAAATGACAGGAGATGATTGGTTCAGCAAGGAACGGATAAATTAGGGTGTAATTGTAATAACAAGTGACGCTACTGCTGGTGGTCAGAGAGGAGTAATGGGTGACAACGGAAGCTTGATCACATTTCGAAGAGGGGGACCATAAATGAGAAGAAAAGATCATTTTCCACTTATTGATCAATGGTCACTATTAAAAAAAAAAACAAGAAAAGGACAGTCCAGGCCCCAGTTTTGTCCAGAAACAAAACCGAACAAAAGATAACGGCAAATAATATATTACAGGTTAACACATGAAAAAAACAAATAAAATAAGACAAAACGTTCGAAATGATCTACAAGCATGAAAAATGATTCAGTGTATCTAGTCTCTCGAATAGGATGAACGACTCAGACTACGACAAAATCAGCATGCAGAGTAGCTTCAATTCCACAAAATCAAGTCGATGTTAGGCGAGAAGAATTAAGTTAAATACGTAAGTAAAGCCTGTGCGGTGATAAGAACGAGCAAAAGGAATGTAAAGAAAGTTACGTTCATGTTCGGCCGAATGCCGGAGGGTAACAATAATAAACTAGACTAGACTATATCTTCAATTTCAAAACTGAAAATGTGGAATTTCAGTAAAGTTACGTATGAGGGTGTGGAAGACAATGACAGAGTAAGGATCGACATGAAAGAGGTGAAATTACCCCAAAACGCCATGAATGACTGCCGAGGAGACCGGCGAGCTCTGAGGATAGAAGATGAAAGGTTGGTTGCAACTTACCAGAAAGCACAAGAACTTACCCGTCTATTAATTGTTTGGGAGGAATGAGAGGTTTGGCTGTTTGGGTACTCCTAACCCCCTTATATATTGAAAACAAAGTTGAACGTTTCATTTTCCGACATATGTTGCTCTTCTTTTAATAACTTCTTTTTTTTTAATATTTTAAATAGAGTTAACGAGTCATTGATGTGTGGGAAGCTGCAAGTGTTTGACATGACAAATTGACAATACAAGTCCATGTTAGCTATCACGATTTTTGAGCTCTCTCAGTTCAAAGTGATCACATTGATGAACTTTTGTAGACATGTGAGGATACCTACGGCACAAGCACCAGGAAGAGACCAGTTACGATCAGTGACGGAACTGCTAGGGGGTGCGAGATTTAAGCGAGCCTATTGGTGGGGAGTTGGAGACGCAGCCTGATTTTGATCAGACCGAGCACCTGAGGATGTTGATGGAATCTTCTACGATTTTGTTGGCTTTGAAAATCGTGATGAGTAGTCTGCAGGGAAGGAGCCTCTCTGTATTTTGATCGTGATTTGCATCTGGAGTCTTCAATTTTGCTCGGATTGGAAATAACTAACAAGGCACCCCATCTCGTGTACTCGGTGAAGCTAGATTTGAGGGTGATGATGTTATGTAAAAGCAGTAAAGCTAAATTTCACATAGGGTGTTCAGTCTGAACCATTCTAATTGGCCTGATTTTGTCTTAATTATATTAGGACGGCTTTTATCCCGCCCGACAATAATCAGGACGAGACTTTAAGGGATATGATAGAAAAGAGGTTTGGAAAGGGACGAGACACGAGATTACTATCGAGACGTCCCGTTCCGAATATTATATATATTATTTTTATTTTAAATATATTAATTATATTAATATAATTTATACTTATCTTACTTATATCAATTATAATTTAATACTTACAATTCTTATTTAAAACTAAAGTTTTTTTATATTGATAATTTTAATGGCATGGAGTAAACATGGCGATATTTTTCTTTATAATGTATTAATTATATTAATATAATTTATTCTTATATATATCTATTCAATAATTTTTATTTATAACGTATTTCTTGCTTTATTTTTAGAAAAGTAATTAATTTAGCACATTTTCATTAAAGTAGAAGAACAATGATTTGATGTTATGTTTGACTTGCCTGTTGTTGCTAATCTTATAGCATAAAGATCACTTGTATTTGTTATTATAATGTATAGTTGTGATTAATATAATTCAATAATTAATTTTAAATTATTGTTATTTATGTACTTGTTTTGTTTTGATTTTAAACTTAATAAATTATATAATTTAAAATTTAAATGAATATTATTATCCAGATCTTTTTTTCGATATTATTCCATTTATCGAGATGGCGAGACGTCCGGATCTTGTCCCGATCCCGTCCCGACTCTTGACGGGACGGGATGACTTTCAGGACGGAACGGAACACAGGACTAAAATTCAGTTCTGATCTCTTTTTCGGGATGAGACACGGGACGGAGGTGTCCTAATCCCGTCCCGTCCCGTGAACACACCCCTAATTTGACAGTGGCAAAATTTATTCCATTCTTGAAATATGTTCATGTTAAATATCTTTGCTGCGGGTGCTGATTGTAATTAATTGGAATTTTTGCACATCTTCCCCATTTAACAGATGATAGCCTAACATTTCAAATATTTTATAATATGATTCAGATTAATATTTAAGTTAAATTAAAATGGAAAAAACCACTCCTATAATTTAAAATTTTATTGTCATTCTCAAATCTAAAATATATTATGTCAACTAAAGACAGTAAAATATTTAAAAGTGTTTAAATATTAAAGTAATGTATGATTATAAATGAGCCATGATTATAATCATTTAGATACACAAATTTTGCTATTCTGTTACACAAATTCTTTTATTTGTTTTAGGGATGAAAAGGGAACGTCGCAGCCCAAGATTATAAATGCGCTACATTTCAGAATTTTTAAAAACGTCTTCCATAATTTTTAGTTAATAGATTTTGCATGGTTATTAGGCTAATTTACTCTAATTAACTGTGTTCCATTGATTGAATTACTTGTATTTATTTAACCATGTGTATTGCCAAGTCATTTTATATTTTATAGGAAGTTTTTTATAATTTTTATCAATTTTATATTAAGTGCTTGTAGTTTATTAAATATCTTAATTCTTAAGAATTAATAAATTTTTCCTTTTAAGATATGAAATTAAGGGTTATATTTTTATTAAAATATATAATTTTAAAATTAATTATATAATTTTTATAACTCAAAATTTATATAATTAAGTTATTTCTTACAAATAAATTTTTAATCTTGTAAAATTTTCATAAAAAACTTATTAAGATGTAGACATTGTATTCAATCAAATTTTCTTTTTTCCCTTTTTGGCCAGGAATATTAAATGAAGATTTTTATAAATTTTAGAATTATTTTTATTTTAAAAAATAAATAATTCATTAATAATTTTAACTTTTAAGAATTGACATATTTTATCCATCAAATTTTAAGGGCCTAATTAAAACAGAGTAAATTATAGAGGCCTAGATTTTTTTTTGTCATGTTATATATAATATATTTTATAAATTTTATTTTATTCAAAAATATAAAGAATGTCATAATATTTTTGAAAAATTAAACAAATTTTTTTTATTGTCTTGAAAAGGGGAGGAAATATCTCTAAAAATCAAAACCAACCAATATTCCAATAAGCTGCATAAACTTTTTCTCCCGCTGGTCTATCTTCCCTGTAGAAGATTCTCATATTATTTTAATGAGGCAGCCATCTCATTACTTTAATGGTTGATAGGCACACCATTTTTCTTTAAAATTTTTCTAACATTATTAGAGATAAAAACTGAAAATTATTGTGATTATATATACTTGCACCTAAATAACAAACTTAAGACAAGAAAAAAAACTAAATAATAAAATTTATTTATATGTAAGATTTAAGTAAAAATATTTTATATATAGAGACAAAGTCAACAAATTATCTTACTGTAGAGTCATTTGTTAAAAAAAAGAAAGAAAGTGAAGTCATATTTTGACAAACTTTGTCAATGACCAGCACAAATACTGTGCCACGCAATCTAGCCATCAAGATTTAAATATATAGAATTAAAATTGAAATTTTAATTTACATATTTATGACATTTGATAGTAATGTTCCTCACTTTTTATTTATTTATTTATTCTAAAAATGGTATACATGGTATATGAATTGAAGCATTCATTTTTTTTTTTTTTTTCCTTTCCTCTTTTTCTTCCCATGTTAAATCATGTAATTGCTCTTCCTCCATATTCAAAGCCCAAGTTGTTAGGTCATGTTTAGTATGATGAAAGAGTTTTTAATGAAATCAGAATTGGAATCGGAATCGAAATTAGAATTGAAATTGGAATAGAATTGAATTTAAAAGTGTGTTTGGTATGATGATGGAATTCTGATATAATTTTTATAAAATATAAGTACTTAAAATAAGAAAAGACTAAAGTGTCCTTTTTAAAATTTAAAAAAATATATTGGAGGAGAGAGAAGGGGCAAATTGGAGAAAGGGAATCATGGAATTGGATTCTATGATGCATATAATAAAATTGAATTCTGTCAAATTTTCTTTAATCCTGATTCCAAAGAATCATAATTATTGCATATCAAGTACATATGTTAACAGATTTTATGTTCAATTTCATTTTTTTTTCTATAATTTCAAGCTACCAAACGGAGCCTTAGTTTCAGAAAGCGGAATCGATACGTATGAATCCGCAAGAAGGTTGTACTATTAATTATGTAGGTAATGTGTGTCTCATCAGGCAACGGGCATGGGTTGTCATAACAAAAATATACGAGCACGCGACAATATATCTATTTGAGAAAAAAAGTATTATAAATAATTAAACATTTTAAAAAATTAATCAAGTCAAATTAATGAAATTAATAATTAGATCTCATCCATTTCTTGAATCACGTCAGGATTTACAATATTTGAACAAGAAATAAATAGATAGATAGGTACATGCCACCTAAGGATTGAGGGTGAATTTTGGATTTGAATTGCAAAATTAAATTTTATAGTAATTGATTTGTAAAATTAATTTTAAATATAATTTAAAACTAAAATTTAAAATAAAGTAAATTTATAATTTTTATATTTTTACAATGTCATGATTTTCGCTTTTAAAATTGAATGATCCTCACCCCCTCCAAAAAAAAAAAAAAACGACTATGAGAATTTTCAAACAGGCACTAACGTCATCGGAGGCACGTGGAGTAGAGGAGCTTGATTGATAAGCAAATGATAAGTAAAAATAGATTATGCCTCTTAACAGAATCTACAATATGATCTATTTCAAACTTAGCCCGACATATTATTAAATAAACTTAAGATAAATTTAAATTTTTAATTAAATTTATTTAATTAAATAGATTAAATTTATTTTTTTAAAATTTAGCCTATTAATTCAATAGATCAGTCTATTTGATATTATATCACAATTCATCATTTAATTTTTAATTAATTTATTTTTTATTTTTAATTATATTTTCAATGATATTGTATTTGTATATTTATTTTAATATTATTATTTTATTATTATATTATATAATAATTGATAATTTTTTTAATTATTATATATTATAATTGATAAATTAAATTATATTATTATTATATATTATAATAATTTTAAAATATATTTGAGATGTTTAAAATTAAAATTAAAATTTATTTAAAAAATTTTTTAAATAAGTTTTTAGATTAAATCAAACTTTAAGCAAATTTAAATTTATAAAAAAAATATTATATAAATTTTAAGCCAAACCTAAATCTCTAATTTACCACATTAGTTTAGCTTTATTTAACCAAAATCTATCTCACCATAACTTATTTTCATCCTGTTTAAATTCCATTCTCCTGGAAATTAAATTTACGGCTATCGCCCAGTGTCCGTTCCGCAGCCGGGAAGTTTAACTATACAAAAGGGCTGCGGAGAGAAGAAAATTTTAAAAAAGAAAAGGTTTGGAGCGCTTGTTGTTGTACATCACATATCAGCTGCGGCTTCAGTAGCTGAGAGACTGAAAGGAGTAAGGGGAGAGAAGTGGCCTGGCATCTAATCTAAACATTGAACTCAACGAGGCCACGCATTTGGGAAATTTTGAGTGAGAGGGGCAGAGATGGACCTGGGTTTTCTGATTCACGCTCTGATTCCGTCCTGGAACTCCGTTAGTACCCCAATTCGTGAATCAAGTGTTCATCATTCCGATTATTTGGTTATAACGTGAAATTCCCTTCTGTTTATTTTTCCCGCCCGTTTCATCTTGACCAGGTTGCTTTACTGGTGGGATTCTTTACTTACTTGGCGATTGCTGGAGCCATTGTGCCTGGAAAAGTTGTTCCTGGGGTGATTTTGGCGGATGGAACTCGTCTTCAATACCGCTGCAATGGTCAGTTTTATTAAATTTATGCTATCTCTCCCTCTCTCTGTCAGAATGTCTCCGCTAAAAGAAGACAGTTAAGTGATCTGCGTAAATATATAATTTATTTTTCGCACTTCCCAGGTTTGTTCTCACTACTTCTGTTGGTTGCACTCTTGGAATCAGTGCCAATATGGGTTTCATATCGCTCACCGTATGTATTCTCTGCGCGTGAACCTTCTGTTGCTTAATCCACTTCAATGGAATTGGCTTCCTCTATGGTTATTGTTTTTTGGCTCCTAAAACATCAGTCCGTAGAGGCAGTAACAAACATTTCGTGATGAATGAAATCCCTCAGAACCAAACACCGATTTTATGTGTTTATTTTTATGGTGAATCAAGGCAACTAGATTGCACCCACCTGTTATACTTATACCGGTGCTAAAAGTTTAAAAAGAAAAATAGTGCACGCAAACCGAAAGCAATTATGAATTCTCAGTAAAAAGCACAATAATTAGGATTTCAATTTTATATATTGACGATGATGTTTCTTGCAGGTTATATCTGAGAGAGGACTGGAGCTGCTGTCCACAACTTTTATCTTCAGTTTTCTTGTATGTGAAGCTTAATGTCACCACTTAAAAGATCACATGTTCACTATGATTTGACTTTCCTTTCCAATATCATGTGGCTACATTAGCTTGATTGGAAGAAGTTTTATAGGGCATTTATAACTCAGGCAGACGCAGTTGCTTTTCAGCTGTATCCTCCCGTAACTTGGAGTTGTGCTGGTGGTATTATAATATTACTTGATACCAACGTGGCTTAATTAGAGAGATTTGCATTTCAAAAGTAACAATAGGGTGAAATTTGGAAATAAACATATATAGCCAACTTTTCAGTTTTATACCGAGGCGCAAAACAAGGTCTTTCTCTGACTAGTTTTAAACTTAAAAATCCTAATGTCATCTTGCAAGTTGCAATGTTGTCAAATGATAACTTATTTGAATGTCTACTTATCTGTTCTTGTTATTCCCCGTAGTGCTTTTTTTTTTTTTTTTTTGCCTTATCAGTTATTTTGTTTGCTCATTTCTTCCATATACATTTTAGGTGACTCTGGTACTCTATTTTGCTGGCTGCAAGTCACGCAGTAAAGATTCATCTCTAAAACCTCATATCAGTGGAAATCTTATTCATGACTGGTATGTTCAAAATAGTGAAATGCCTACTCAAGTTAGAATGGTTTCAGGTTTTTGTTTCATGTATTTTCTGCCAACACCCTATTCCTATGTTATATATGCTACAAGTCTTTCTCACTTTTAATTCACTACAATAAAAGTTTCCTGGTTCTTTCAATTCCCAAGCCTTAGCTTTTCATGCAAAATTCTGTCTGGTTTTTTAAATGTACAATAAATAAACCTAAAAAACTGTTTTCCTGACATGAATCTCAAGGATGGGTAGAGTAAAAGTTAAAAAAGGTGTACCAGGCTATGGAAGCTGTGGAACTTAAATACAGATGCTTGTGATACAAGATGAGATGCCATGGATTTGGACAGAAAAAGTCTTAATATTCGAGACATGCCTCTAGGTATAGGGTTATAATATTTATTATAGTCTAACTAGTACTTCACTACTTTGTTTTGATTTAACCCATGGGATGCTTCATGCACCTTATTCTTGATATTAGAATGGGAATATCAATATCTTTTGTTTACTAACCCTTGGCTGCATTGATGGTATTAGTATCAAGGTTTCAAAATTTTATTCTGCAATATGCATACACATATTTTGAGGCATCATGTTTGTCTTATAAAGATTGAATTAGACTAGAAAAGCCATCATTCTGTCTTTGAGAAGAACTACTGAGTGCTGCACTTAGAGGTGAAATGATTGACTTTACTCCCTTGAATCAATTGAACTGTGGTGGTCAATATTCTCTTGACTTGTTTTCTATTCTAATTTAACAGGTGGTTTGGGATACAGCTGAATCCTCGTTTTATGGGTATCGACCTCAAGTATGTGATCTACTCATCATTTTCCCTTGATTTTTTTTATTCCCACATATGTATTAATAAGTTACAAGATGGTATGAATGGCATCTCTCCCTACCTTCTTATGGAAACTATTTTTCATTTAGGTATCTTGTAATGATTATTCAAAATATTGAAAATTTAATCATTTGTCAACTTTATTATTTGTATACTGTTGTCTCTATCCATATGGGAATCTTGACGACTTTTGTCCTGCAAAATGCATTGGCACAACCACTATTTCTCATATTTCAGCATCCGACTGGCTGTCTAACACACAATCCATACAGCATGCCTTCAAAAAAAGTGAAAATGATATATGCATGCAAGAGAGTTTTCCATTTTAGTACTTAACACCACTAATCACAATAGAAACATGGGTAGGATAACAGAATATAGTGTTCCAAGTTTAACTTTGTATCCTAATATGGATCATGACTGACTTTCTTAATGAAGACAGCATGTAACATCATTAGCAGAGTGTAATGGCTGTGAGGATAAAATTTAATCCAACACATGGCCAAACCTTTGACGGAGTTTTATTTTGCAGATTTTTCTTTGTTAGAGCTGGAATGATGGGGTGGCTTCTTATCAATTTATCAGTTCTTGCTAAGAGTGTTCGAGATGGTACCTTGGGCCAACCAATGATCCTCTACCAATTGTTTTGTGCGGTAATCCAGAAATCATGCATGCTATCTTTCTCTAACAACAAAACCATTGCTGCTGGCATCTGATGTGTGAATTTCTCACCTTAATATTCCAGTTATACATTCTGGACTATTTCGTGCATGAGGAGTACATGACATCCACGTAAGTGAATTAATTACTACTCTCAGGAGATTAAAAAAAAAAAAACCTGGCTAAGAGACGGAAAGCTTCATGTTAATTTAATTATTTGGCTAGAAAACTGCTTTCCGTACCTTATCTCTTCTGCAGTAGGACGAGAAATATTTTGTTCCTCAGATAGATATCTTTTGTGCAGTTTTTCCTGTTTGATTAGATGCAATCGGTAGAAATCTATGCTTCTTAGTTTCCCTCAAACTTTATTTTATGCTAGTTTAAATATCTGTATGTGTACAGATGAAGTTATGCCTTTTTATGTGCTTGCTGGCATATCAGGGGAATTTTATGTTGTCGAAATGCTTGTTTATTGTGTAGTAATATTTTTTATTTATTTCAACGTCTTCTGTTACATTTTTTTTTTAAGTGAAACTAGTACATGTCTCGTGGTGCATGGAATAAAGAGTCGCACTGTTCATGGCTCGTGACTAGTGCAACTTGTGAAGAGTTTTTATGTTATAGATGGACATACATATTTGTTGTTAAATTCTTAATTTATCACATAATTCTTTTGCTCTGCAATGGTTCTACTAGTAAATGGGAAGTTGTTGCTCAATTATATCTCATCATTCCTCAATTTTCTTTTGTTGATAGAGCATAATGGCGTAATGCGATTCATGTAGCCAACTCCACTTAGTGGGATAAGGCTTATTGCTGTTGTTGTATTCCTCAATCTTCATTATCCACTGATCATAATAAAAGTCTTCTCTTGCAGATGGGACATAATCGCAGAGAGACTGGGATTCATGTTGGTCTTTGGAGATCTAGTATGGATTCCCTTCACTTTTAGCATACAGGCAAGTTGCTTGAACCATGAACTGGGATGGGGAATAACAAGCAAAATAAAGATTTTGCAAATGAAAGGGAGAAAATTCACCGTATGCTAGGAAAAAGTTACTTAAATACAGTTCTTATATGTCCTTGCTATTAAGTTTCCCAATTAAAACATGATAAGTATATAGTTTTTCATGTACAAGTTAATCGGAGAACCAGGCAGTTTACTGTAAAAACAATATACTTGTCATATTTTAATTGGTAACTTGACGACAAAGATATATGGAATTGTATATATTTTTTTTTCCTCAAAAAAGAATGATAACAATAAGAAAAGAGACGAGGAGAGTTTGTGGCTCAATATAGCCTTATAATCACCATGATTCTATTTCAAATAGCAGGTCTTGATTTAGATTTACCTTTCCAAGGTTGATTACCATTTTTATGAATTGATGCGTTATAGTCTCAAACTGTTTGGAATTCTTGGGGGACAAGCAAAGTTATTTACTTTGAGCAGTTATAAAATCACTTTCTTGGGCCATTTGCTCAGGCACCTTTTCTCTTGCCTTTTTTATATTCTGAAGTTCAGTGATGGCAAATCTTCATGTGCTGGATTTGTACTGCTCCTTGTAGCCTGTTCTTGTACTTTTATGAAAATAATGTTTCTACATTAATCAATACTAGATTGGTCCTGAATGATTTGATATTGATGCATGCTTTAGGCATATATTTGTCTCTGTAGGAGAGAGGAACTTAACCCAGCTATTTATAGATGTACCTTTGCGTGACTTAACAGTCTGTATTGCTGTTAGGGATGGTGGCTTTTGTTGAACAAGGTGGAGCTACCAACTGCTGCTGTTATTGCAAATTGCTTCATCTTCCTGATTGGGTAACTTACCCATAGGCCATAATATCTTATTAGCACATAAGCATTTCTCTATGGAGACCATATTGATATCTACTTTGTTGAATAAAAATGCACAGGTACATGGTATTTCGAGGAGCTAACAAGCAAAAACATGATTTCAAAAAGAATCCAAAGGCTCTAATATGGGGTAAGCCTCCAAAAGTCATTGGAGGCAAGTTACTTGCTTCTGGTTATTGGTAAGATTTCATGTAATACTTTTCTTCCCATTGTGAAATATGAGCATATTTTCCTGTTCATCCTTATCATTTTACGTTGTCAGATTATGGAGTTAAAAGAATAGTCAATTTGTTCAGCAACAATGTGCATTTGTGTTCTTCAGAGGCTATTAAATTATATAAATATGCACGTAGCACTTTATGGCAAGAAGCCATGATCTACGGGTGAACAAATTCTAGTGAGACTGAGCTTGTGAAGGCAATAGGCTTGATTGTACCATTTAGTTGGCAGGATTTAAAAAAAAAAAAAAAAACGAGAGAGAATCGCAAATATGAATGCTGATTCTGAAGTTCCTTTGGACAAGGATAGTTTCAAGGTAAACAAATGATGGATTCCGGTTTGCCATTCCTATTTTCTGATAATTAAATGACAAAGTCATCATATATTAATTCCTTTATTTTTGTTATGATTATTCTTGTTAATTTTTTAAGATTGAAGGCGTAATTAAAAAAAAAATGCATCACCAATCACTAGAACATATACCACTTGGCATTTTACGGAAAATATGCTTTTTTGTCAGTCGAAGTTTGTGCTTTTGTCTGTATCACTACTGTACTACGTCATTGTCATCCAAGAACTGTTGTGAGAAACTTCCATATTCTTGATTCTGATTTTCATGGAAGTTATTGATGCAGTTAATTATTTTTTTGTTGAAGGGGCATTGCTAGACACTGTAACTACCTGGGGGATCTGCTTCTTGCTCTCTCCTTTAGCTTACCTTGTGGCATAAGGTAACCTCTTTGATCTTGTTGCTTAACTTTCATATTAAGATATGGGCTTTAATTTCAGTCAGTAAAAAGGATTCCAAGCATTTATTGTTTGCTCATTTTTACAGTTCACCAGTTCCATACTTCTATCCAATTTATCTTCTAATTCTGTTGATCTGGAGGGAGAGAAGGGATGAAGCTCGTTGTGCACAGAAGTATAAAGAAATATGGGCGCAATATCGTCAACTAGTTGCATGGAGGATTCTGCCTTACGTATACTAAGAAACATCCTTCAATGTGTTGACCGCAGGACACCCCTGCCAGAGATCTTGAGCTTCCATGCTTTGTTGATCACACATTTGATTGAACAGAAAAAATGGATCTCTTGCTAGTGAGTTACTATTGTACATTATAGCGTGCTTTTTTGACGAGTAATGAGGGAGATTATCAATTTGGTTTAGTTTAACCCTGATCACTGTGTTTTGAGATTAAGCATGTTACAAATCTTGCGTTCTCAAACTATCATGTGACCACATTTGATGGATCGCACATTAGTTAAAAAAGCTAATGAAGCAAGTTCTGAGAGAAAAAGTGGGGAATTTAAAATAAAATAGTAGAATAGTTTTATTTTAATTGATTTCAATTTTTTAGTTAACAGTATTGATATTTAATTTGAATTTTAATCTTGTGATATTGCTAGAGAAAATGAAAAATAGATTTTAGCAAGAATATTAGTCACTGAATATTATCTGTTTTCTCTTTTCTTCATTTTGAACTCCATCATTGTTGGTCCCAAAAAAAAAACAACATTTTTTCCTCCCAACTTTTCTCTAACTATGAGATGGAGAAATGACAAAACAGATCGATAAAAAAATTACAAAAAGGATCTGAAAGAATTAACAGCAATTTCAGCAAGTGGGGTAATTGCAATTGTAATTAAAAAATATAAAAATATATGACAGGAGAAGAGGGAGTGAGCACCTATTGCTTTGTATATTCGAAAAATGGAGACTCCTCTCCTCGAAAACTACCATTCGTGTTTCTGATTCACCTCATGACCGTGAAGCTGGTGAAGTGGCTGCGCGTGCACGATCACTATACTTGAAGGTGGAGGAGCGGGTGGAATCTACTTTTGCAGGAACAAACCCTTGGGAGTGACAATGCTAGAACTTGTGCAAAGCCCACTGCTGGTGTTGTTTCAGGCTTGGATGGTATGCGCTTTCGCGATCTCTAGGCTCTGGAGGATGCTGCTTCTGAACACTTCAGAGGGAATGGAAGATGAAAAAAAACTGCCAAGGAAGATTCTGTGACCAAGTCATTGTTGGTTTCTTTTACAGTCTTTCTGTATTTATTTTCTCGTAATTAATATTTGTACAGATCATGACCTTTTGGGGAAGCATTTCCCATTTACAAACTTCTTAACCTTCTCATTTGCACTTATCAATAATGTTTACGACTAGCGGCCGAAGGAAGTGCAGAAATAAAGTAAATGCCACAATGCTAATAGCTAATTACCTAATCATGCCAAACACCATTGTAAGCGAATTAATTTCTCCATTTTCTTCAAAACATTTCTCAATTTCATTACTAAATTCTTAATTCTTCACACGCATTTGTATCATCCAGCTATGTCTGACAATATTATTTTCAGTTGAAGTTAGGACAGATCTATTTGGTAGAACTCGAATCATCAAATATGACAACTTGTTCAGAAAATACGTTGCGAAAGCCCTTATAATTTAAATTGGACCCCTTACAACGGGAACAAAAATTCTTACCTAACCCTGCATTTGTTGGACTTCATTATATTAATTAAGCGGCACGCTTCTTATTTGCTAAAGTGACGGGATGAACATTGTCGAGCTTGTTAAAGTGGAAAGTCTATTAACTATGAAGTTTTACCTAATTAATCATTAATTATATTTGACGGTTTGGCGAGATCAAGACGGTCAGTGACTTGAATTCTTTAGTTACCGTGTCACTATCATTAGGGAAAACGTCACCGTGCATGTCACATTTTTGGCCCACATACATAGTGCAGAGAAATGAGTGAATTGACGGGGGATTTCTTTTCGGCCTAAAGTGACGAGGGATCTCGCTCGGGTCGGTCCATGAACAAAAAGGGGCCCACAACAGCAAAAGAAAGGGGATGGTTTGGGACTTCCATGAAATTTGCGAGTCGATAAATTCGTTCCTCGTTATCATTCCCGTCTGACACACACTTCCAAGTGCTTAAATAAAAAACTACCCCTGCCAACAGTGCACAGAATCTCCATCATTTTTCTTTGAATTCAGATTATTTACAGCTTTAAAATTACTCAAAAATAATAATAGAAATTGCTCTCTCTCTTTGTTTTTTTCCTTCAATTCACTGGCTACATAATATAAAATTTATAAAACAGTTAATAAAATGTAAAAATGCAACTCTCGTCAAATTTCATACAAATCAAATGACCCACAGTTTAATCATTTTAAATTATTTTAGTCAAGGCATGATAATTATTTATATCACCTAATTAATTGATTTAAGAAAAAAAGAAAAGAAAAGCGTTTTGGCATTGATGGAAGAGAATGGTTTGGGGAGGTTGGTGCGGTGGTGGGTTAATTCGAGTCTTGTCATCATAAAATAAGAATCAGTCAGAACGATAGATGGTGTGGTCGGATTGTGGATAATCTTATCTTGATGAAATGCAAACACGCAGTACAGTCGGTGAGAAAGTGGATGATGACGGGCACCGTACAACAGTCACGTGAGAATCGAATCCCTGAGCCAAAGCTCGTCGACTTGTCTGATTCTCTTCTCTCTCTCTCTCTCTCTCTCTCTCTCTCTCTCTCTCTCTAGTCTCTCTGAGGCCTTTATTAAAAAAATTAGAGAGAGAGAGAGAGAAGATACAAGCATGACTGCATGAGGCTGAGAGGTCGATCGGTGGATAATAAAACCCAGCCGTGCAACAATACGTCGTACTTCGAGGAAATAGGATGCTTATGCTGCTGCTGCTGCTGCTGCTGCTTCTCTTCCTTCTCTTCTCTTTTCAAGGATACAATTTTAATGATGTTAACTATCATTATTAGTCTATTTTTAAAATTCTAAAATTATTTTTGAATTAATATAATTAAATGAATTTTCATTTCATTCTATTTTATGAAAATAATTTTAAAAAATATATTATAAAACAGTTTTTAAAAATTAAAATAGAAATAGAAACAGAATAGGCTCTTAAAATTTTATTGTGTGGCTTTGTTTATGCGTATGAGTTGATTAGCTAGTTGAATTGCCTTTTAAGGAACTTACCCTCGTCACGATATTTGAATTTAATCCGATAATACTAGATATATAATATTATAATTATAATATTGTATGGACAAAAGTAGAGATCGAGCTTGCCAGAAGCGAACGTCAATATCTGAAGCTGAAGTGCTTATTTGGATTTCATCCATAATTGATTCTAAAAACCCAAAATCATAATTTTGTAAACTATATTTACACAACCCTACGTATAAAAATTAATTATAAATTTAAAATTATATTTTTTAAAAATATCCAAATACATCTATAATATATATGTCAAAATTAATTATGAATCTAAAATATGATTTGTAAAATAGTATATAATATTTTTTGAATAAATTTTTAAAAGTATAATTTTTTATTACATTAGTACAAGCAAAGTTAAACTACAACAGCACAAGAAAATCTCCATCAATTTCTCACCTCAGGCAGCTAGGATGGGATTTGATCAAAGACAACAGAAGTGTTTGACATAGAATGAGCCATATTGGCTTGGAAAACAGCACGGAAAAGTTGTTCACGCCTTTGCCACTCGAAATGCACATCCCAATTAATTGTATGTGATAAGTCTTCTTATCATCTGTTCAATGACATCTCTGTATGGGTGTTTCAGAACGTTGTCCCTAGTGATTGAATTAATAGCTCCTATTTAGTCTGATCGCATAGCCACATTTCTATATCCCTTAGCTTGGACCGACACAGCTCTAGACTAGCTTTAATGCCAAGAAGTTCTACAATATAATAGTAGATGGACAGGGCTCCAATTTATGTGCAAAGCTCACGATCCATTCCCCTCTCTCTGTGTATGCCACCCCTCCACATGTGCTCGATCCTACCCCATTAACTGAACCATCTTCCCCCAGCAAAACTCTTTCCTCACAAACCTCCCTTTTTTATTATTTTTTATCGTATAAACATATCCACTGGAACGCAGCAATAATGATTTATCCTGCCAAGCTCTAAACAGGGTTGCTGTGACATTTTCAGATACATTTGTTTCTTCTAATCCAAATTAGTACTTCGACGGCAAGCAAGAGATCCAAATATCCCATGCAATATAAGCAAAAACCCATTCCCACATCATTTGTCTTACTAATTTTTACCTACTTCCTTCCTCAGATTCCAGTCAATCCATTCTTTGGGTCCCAGCATCATGAATTCCTCCCACTACCAGTAAGCAGCTTTAACCACGGCTCTTAACTTACTCTGAACAAGGAGGCAGTCAAGGACAGCATGAATCATATCTTCTATCTCCTATTGGCATGTACTACAAATGTTGCTGTGGAGCAATCCTCTCGTCCACCTTAGGTCAGCAGTGTGTATTCGGTCATGCCCTAACAGCTAGAGGAAGGATTTGATCTTCTCTGGTATGTCACCACGCCAAGTTTTCCTCCATGTAGAACTACAAACATTACTAGTACCTACAAAAAAAAAAAAAAAGTTAAGACGTAGTTCGCAGAAAATGAGCCATCCAATGATGGCTTCTTTACAAATTTATCACCCTCACTCCTATTTATCTCAATGTGAGTTGAGTAACAATGCCAATCAAGTGGGCAGGGAGCTAGAAAGGTATAATTAAAAAGCAAGTAATAATAGCTTATGAGATAACTTTATTCTTAAACTCGTAATTAATTTTAGCATCTACGGGGATATTTGGATATTTTTAAAAAAATCATAATTTTTGGATTAAAATTGATTTTAATATATATATATATATATATAATGGGTGTTTGAATATTTTTAAATAAAACTATGGTTTTAATTGATTTTAACATGTAACAAAATATTTGGATATAGTTTCATAGAATCATGATTTTATCTGATTTTCAATTCTGCTTTTCAATTTTACTTAAAATTAATTTTATAAATCAGTTATATATCATATAATATAATTAATTATATTAAAAATTAATTATATTAATCAATTTTTTTCTAATGAATTGTGAACGGGCCCAAAAGGATTGATATTAGTGCATGGTGTCAGGTGACATGTCTTACTTGTTACATCACCCTAAAGTGGGCTCAGTTCACATAATTTTTATTGATAGCTTATGGTTGCTTTTAGGCTCAGCCTTGTTAGAATATATCATTTTTATACTTTAAGCTAGCATTTGGATTCGTAAATTTATATTTGGATTTTAAATTTTAAATTTTATATTTAAAATTATTTGTTTGAATGATTTAAAAATTTTTAAATAAAAAAATAGGCTAAATTGTATTTTTAATCTTT